AAAAAAAAAAAAAAAAAAAAAAAAAAAAAAGCAAAAGTTTAAGAAGAAGACAGATAAACTCCATTTAAAGAGAAAGATGATGAACTTGAGCTATTTGGAATATAAAGGACACTCACACTGCCTCTGCAGTATTACTCCAATATGTTATATGATCTGGACACTTCTAAGGATAAGAGTAGAATAGTCTCCATCCCAGTTTCAAATTTTGGGTCTCAGCTAAGAGCTTTATTTGTGAAAGTGAGGATGCAAAACATTAAGTTTTCAAGAAAGGGAAAAAAATGGAACTTTAAAGTACAAAGAAGTACAGAACCAATGCTCCCATGAAAAATGCCACTACACTGCTACCAAAGTATCCAKGGACTGAGGCTCTGTGCTAAACTGGATTCTGAAAAGAGCTCAAAGGCAGTCCCTAAAAAACCCTAAAATGGGGTTTGTAATTAAACATTTAAACATCTTTACCATAACAGAGGGGTCAAAGAACTCAGCTGGGCAACAGAATCTTTTCCAACCAGGTGATGGTGCCACTATGATGGATCAGTTTCTCTCCACTTTTTCTCTCTCCGGGCATCAAGTCTTTTACCATCCAAGTAAAAGTAATAGAGATAGCTCTGCCACCATCTTAACAAGATGTCTAGAGATTTCTAGTGACACATGCTGTATTCTTCTGCCCACTTTTATCTCAGGTTCTTAGGCAGGTGGGCTCAGTGCCCAAGTCCATCTGCCAGATTAGCCCACTGTTACAAAACGGCTTCCTTTGTTCTGAGACAGTGCTGTCCTCTGCTCCTTCAGGATCCCAAATCGTTCGTTCAATGTCATCCCTGTCTGAAAAATAAAGTCATTTAACCAAAAACTTTAAAGATGTTGGGTTAATTTAATCAAAGTAATGGAGACCAGAATACTTTTTTCTTCACTCTGTATCACTTGACTTCCTTAGTTGCCTCACTTGAATTTTTTATCACTTCCCACACCATTTAAAAATCAGATTGAACTACACATCAAGTGGCTGTCTTCTCATAATTCATTAAGAACACAKAGTATATAAAGCCAATACTCAAAGCCTACTCAAAATATTGTAAGTTAAACTGAGGACAGACAGACTSAAAAACAGGACTTTCAGTACATATTTCCCCACACAAATTCTCTGCAACTTCCATAAATGCAACATTTTCACCATCTTAATGCAGGTTTCTTTCCAGTTCACTCAGCTGAGGCAGCAAGCTAGAGTCTAATCCAACAGTTCAATTAATTTTACAGTACAGGAGCAGACTATTTTTGATGTACTTCTTATTCCTGGATGGAACAGATGCAAATCAATGGACTCTATGCAGTTTTCTACAGCTGGCACTAAAGGAGCTGATTACAAGAACAGGACCTAACTCTGCCACCCTGTAAGAATTCCTTCAATGACAGCATTAGGATTCCTACACCAAATCACCTGTCTTCATGAAACTTTGCTCATCTTTCAAGCCTTTACATCATCACATTTAATTTTTTTTTCCTAGATGGACAGCAAAAGTTGTCTTATAAATTGGGCTACCAGGGCTCCATGCAGGTCACACAGCTGAAAGCAGCTCATCCCTGAATAATTCACAGTTGCTGATGCAAGCACAGCAGGAACACCAGAAGCCTTTTAGAAACAGTCAACATTTTAAATCCCATTTAAATCATGTGGGCATGCAGGTCATGAACAAGAAGAACAGGAACAGTGAGTTTAGTTACTTGCTTGAAGTTACACAGTGAGTTAGCGGAAGGACTGGAAATGGAAACAAGAAGTAGTCACCAGTTCCCTCTTTCTGTCACTAGTGAYCTAGGAGGAAAGTGCCTCACTGGCTTTTATTAGTCTTGAAACTGCTTCCACAGTTATGAAAAGAAAATTGCATTTACCTGTTTTCCAACACTATTTATATCAAACTGCAGTGGAACCCCTTTTGGAATCTTCTTCTCTTCAGACTGGTCCCTCTTCATCAGAAATGGTGGCACAGGGCTACGAGTTAATCGTAATTTCTGGGAACTGTAAGAGAAGAATGTTACAAAGGACATGATGAACGTGTGTTTTATGCAATAAAGTCTTAATGCTGATAGAGGTATGAATTTTTCATCAAACGATTTGACCAGGTTGGCTGAGGAGTTGGAGGGCACAAATTCAAAAAGGTAAGTTAGGCAGAACTAAAAAAAAGGACCATTTGTTATTGTTATCTGACAGGAAGTGTCCCAACAGGAAACTATCTTATTTTTTATCTGCAATCTTACTGAGAACACATAATTTGCAGTTAATTAATCCCATAAATACAAAAAAAAAGAGAAATAATACAGTCTTCCTTACTGATAAAATGCTACTAAGGGAATGCTACTCAAGACATTTTTAAATATACCACCTGTAAACAACACTACCATCAACTTCCAAAGACAAATACAGCAATGCTCTCTTAAAGCATAACTCCAGCAGTATTTTTATGCATCAGGGAGGAACTGTTACCATCACTCATCAAGTAGGTGCTCATTCATTTCCATTCAGATAGGAGTGGAAAACAGCTGCAACAATGAGATTTAGAAGGGACAGACAAGGTGAAAATCTAGCAGTCCACCACTTGTCCACTCTATACACCGCATCAAGCTCCTAATTGTGAGATGATGTGTGAGATACAGCTGTAATATTATCCAAACACAGCTCAGAAAAAATCAGAAAGGGGCCAAACTTAAAAGTCTTCACAAGAAGCTGTGACTTTGAGGTCACCTGTAATACTACCTGCAAGGAACTTGCTAAATGGTTCAAAGCACGAATTTATGTTCAGAACATTCCAGAACTTATTTGAAAACTCACATTGGGCTTATGATTGCTCCTGGATTGTCAATAGACACAGTCAGGATCCCTCCACTTGTAGTAGAAGTTCGCCACCTAGTTTGAAAACACAAAATTCACTTAGAAAAATTGTCCAGAGATTTCAGTCAGGTTATCTTTAAAGATATGCCCAAAATTCTGGCCTGCAAAGAATGTGCAAGCTTTCAGAGTGTTGGCCATTACAAAGACCACATGCAGCTACAAGACACTGGACTATTGATTCTTGTACCTTTTATATACCTACACCTATTCAAAAGAGTACTAAATCATACGCTGTCGAGGTGCACTAGAACTACAGCCCTGACTCAAAGAGCTCACTTTTGTAAAACATTCAGTTTCTTTGCCAGAGATGGGGCCAAAAYGGCCCTCACAACAAATCCAAGAGGTGAGAGACTTCATTCTCTGGCACCCTCTGCTTTCTCAGCCTGTTGTGTTCCCAATTAACACCCTGAAAAGAGCCCAGCAGGCACAGAATGATATGAGAAGAGTAACGGAGGAAGAGTCGAATGGCCTCATTTGGCTCTGCCTTTTTTTCATTTCTAAACTGCTTCACAGGCTTATATGCATATTAAATAATAGGAGAATTATATCAAGAGCTCAGGAGAACACTGACATTTGAATTTTTCTTCTAGTCTATGCAGTATTCATGAGTGCTAGAGATTAGTCTGATCCTCTTACCACCTTCCCCCTCATTCCTGCAAATGTCTTATGCAAACCAACTCCTCCCGGTTAAATTAGAAGATAATTTACAAAATAACTGAGAATAGGGGGAGGATCACTGTCACKCTAGTTGATGTGCCTACAGGGGAAAAAATCCACCCCCTTTCTATTATCATAGCCAGGAAGTCTAAGCTAAAATGAGAATTTTATGTGTTACAAAACTGAAGTTTTCCAAATTAGATACTTACTGACGAGTTCTCTTTGCTGTCTGATTATCAAGATCATCTGCTGACTGCACCTGGGCCTGCACCTGAAAACACATCAATACAGACACGAGATTTGAATACTGTTTCAATTCCTATTATAGTGGCTGGAAATACAGAAGTTCAAAAGAGAMGTTTAAAGCTGTTTGTACACTCTGCACAAACATGGTTGTACTTTCAGAGAGACTTCAAAGATAAGAGACCTATTACCTTTGTAAGACATTGGAAAGAAATTACTTTAAGAACACAAAATGATTTGAACAAAACTGCCAACAGAACCATGGCAACATTTTGGASGACTAAGATACATCAAAATGTTACTACACTAGAAAGGAAAGACTGTCTAGTTCCTCATCCTGTCTATAATTTTGCAATCCATCTGGAAGGAAGACAACAGCTACTTACAGTCACAACAATGGCAGATGTAGAATGAGGGCACAAGTAAAAACCAAAACCACTTTTCATTCACTGTGCTCTCTCTAATCTCTCAATCCTACTAAAAATAACTAAAAAAATCCTTAAGTAACTAAAACAACTGAAATAAATAATTCAAAAATAACTAAAAAAAGTAAACCAAACCACAATAAGATTCTAAAATTTATTTCTACTCTCTTCTTCACCTGAAGGAAACTTGTGAACATGGACAGTGCTTTCCAAAATTAACTGTTAAAAGGAAAATKTAATACCTTGTAACTACCCTCAAACACTGACAAGTTGCATGCCATTCTGAATAGCTCAATTACACTAGAATGTGAGGCAAGACTTACTAGATTGCAGTAACTAAAGAGGACAAGTGCACTTCCCAGAAGAACCTGTGGCTATTTCCCAGTCTGAGTAGAAACCTGAAATTTCTACTCAGATCTGGTATTTGAAGTTGATTCATTAAGTGTTACAGGCTAGTTAGAACCTGTGGCCCAACTGCCTTGCTCTTTTCAAAATTTGTATTACCTTCAGGCCCCTTCTAAACAGGAAAGTTGCTTGACGAGTGTCTTTCTGCTGATTTAGTTTGTTTCCAATTCTGACAAAAGTGGATGGCATGTTATTCCTGTAATATTTATTAAAAAAAGATAGTTATAAATGGCTCCACAGGGAAAACTTTAGAGAGAGCACTATGGAAGTCAAAAAGGTGCCCMAAACATCCAGAAGTGCTGCCTCTTTGAGGCTGAACACCTCAGTTGGGATAAACTTCTCATCCACTAGAAACAAAACACATTACTCATAAATGGAGAAATCACTGTTGTTACATAGAAGCCTAATGTTCCTACATTACAGGACAATATGGTCATTAATTCTGCTTTTGGCTTTGCTCAGTATCTCCCAGCACTTAAAACAYAGTTTATTAGATGAAAAAAAAATYAAAATTGATATGTATAAAGAAAATTTGTTAACTGTTTTCATTATATGCTCACACAGTGAAAATCTTTTTCATGAAGACCACTTTGATTGCAGTTTRTAACACATTAATTCCAGCACAAATAAAACATGCAATGACATCCCTGAAGCTGCAGATGGCACCAGCTGCCACAAAGGAATTTAGAAAGTTCACTAAACCTTATCAAAATCCACAGCGTCATTTCCGTATAGAATCATAAAACACAGAATGGTTWGGGTTGGAAGGACCCTAAAGATCATCCAGATTCAACCCCCCTGTCAYGGGCAGGGACACCTTTCACAAGATCAGGTTGCTCAAATATAGGCTGTTTGTGATTTAACTGAAGGCAGAGYACCAGGTGCTCACAAATAGAGGTACTTCCTTCCTGAGTGTTCTACAACAAAACAAACATCTGGCTTTGTATCGAGACCATGTTCAATCCATTCTTGGCTTCCAGATTTGTAGAACTTCACACAAAAAGATCATCTTGACCATATTGCTACTGCCAGTACTTATTRTGTTCTCTTAGACTCAATCCTGTTGAACAAGATTCACTCTGTAAAGTTGCCAAGGAGAGTTCAGAAAGCAGGCTTGGTATTTTACCTCCTGTTTAGCAGGGCAGGCCTCCTGAGGGCAGGAGCTTGTTTTCTCTGCATTTCAGATTGTCTCTGCAGGTTTGTTTTCCTTTTCAAGACTGGGTAATTCCGCTGTGCATTCTTAAAAAAACAATAAACATATACAGCATAATGTATACTGTACACACACAAACGTTTTTCTTTCAGTTTCCATTTACAAACTGTGATAAGAAYACTTTAGGCTTTGCCTACTTTTCACAGTCTAACATAACTTGAAAATAGTTTCTGCAATTTCACAAATTCTATACTCTCCACATCCTGAGGGAAAAAAAGTATGAAGCAGCAGAGATTAGCAGCTATTTTTGATTACCCTATTTCCCTAAACTCAGAAAATCCATGCTTCAAATGTCTTAGTCTTGTTCATAAACTCGAAGGCAATCCCCATTCCACAATACTGAATGAGATGAAGCAGACAACAATGTACTGCAGCAGTGCAGAGCTGGGAACCTACCAATGGACTTAATATTCTGAAAAAATTTCCATTTTTCTAACAGCACATGCTTAGCACCTGCAGGTTGGCTGAATCATTGGTCTGTAACAATACTCATTTTCCTTGCAAAAACACAGTAACTCCCTCTGTACTTGCACAGAATGTGCTTCTGCACTTCAACTCTCATGACTCGCAACTCAATTAAGTGTTAAAAACTACCATCCCGCCTAGTCATTATCCAGCCCATCCAAAACAAGAACTCAGCTAACACATTCCCAATTTGATAAAAGCTTGTTCCATATATCTCCATTTTATATTACAGTAGTAGCACCATTCTGAAGCACTCATGTTTAATTTTTTTAACCTGTTCTGACATGAATCACCAGGTTTGCATTAATTACCTTCTCACTCAGTGGTTGTCTGTTCAGAGGACTGATTCCTTTGTGTGAACCCACAGCTTTYTTGGCTGCCAGGCCAGTTATGACTCCATAAGGACGTTTCTTCCCTGCTATCTTCTTTCTGCGTCCCAAACGATTCTTACCATAACCTGCAACAACCACAGTAAGTTCAACAATTCTTCCTTAAAGAACAAAGATCAATGCTTTAAGATGCYTTGCAGGCAGCACAAGTTATCTGTYTGCACACTTCATACCTGAAGACAATTTGGTCACACAGTTGTTTTAGCAGGTCTGGCCCAAGCCCCTGCATGGCAATGATCAGCTTCTCATACAGAGTAGAATATTGCTCTAATTAAATGAAATATTTTCTGTTGAAAATTCCTGATTTGATATGTCTACATGGAGACCTTAAAGAGTCTTCCAGTATAGAAAATTACCAAAATACTCTGAAATGGAACTTCAACAAGTACTGAATAATATAAAACCAAGCCAAACAAAAAGTCCCTCAGCTTCCTACCCATTCAGCAAACTTTAAACTACCAGTTTAATTTAAAGGGAAAACAAACCCCTCAGCTTCAAAGATTATTTATTTAAATCATTGTTCCTAAGACATGACTKAAGAGGAAAGAACATAGCAATTGGCTCACTAAATCAAATTAAACAGCACATGAATTTGAAGTGTTTTCAATTAGAAGTCTGCAAGRCAGTCTGGCCAAACTGAGGATTGAAAGCAGCTTTTGAATATAAAAGGCTTATAAGTCTGAGATCTGTAGTATCTCCAGTTACCAGGTTTGATTAACCCTGTCTGGAGTTATTTAGCTTCATGCTATGAATACAGACTATGCTCTGATTTTGTCTCCAAGCATCTTCCCCTCTAGAACCTCAGACTGCAAAACAAATTTAAGATTAAGGAGTCAACTCTCCAGCAACAGACACATCTAGTTTTAACATATCTGACTTAACAGCATTGATAATAAATCTGTGCTTCCTCATGAGATGGGAGCCATAACAGGAGATAAGCCACTGATTAGAACCCAGCTTAGATCAATTTGCCATGGAGAACTGCTGTGTACACACATTTGTGGCTGGCTAGCAAATGCTCTTCTTTTCCAAGAGTAAAGCTGAAAGTTAAGRTTGCTCAGGTTGAAAGGGACCTCACAAGCTCTCTGGACCAACCTCTGCTCAAATAAATGAAAACCTCTACATTAGCTCAGGCTGCACAGGGCTTTGTGCAGTTGCATTCTGTGTATCACCAAGGACAACTTTTATTTAATTAACAGTGCTCCTCTCTCTGTTTAGCCCTCACAAGCTGAAAGAAATCCCAGCTCAAGCTCCTTACTTCTTCCCAGAAATTTTGGCAGCCACTTCTAAAACCACAAAGAATTGAACACCGTTGATCATCTGTGGTTTCTGTAGTTGTCCACAGAAGATTTGCTACTTATCAGAGTAACTTCAATAGCAATAGAGCAACAATAAATCTACTGGAAAGTTACTAATTACACCTTCTACTTAAAAACAATAGGAGATAAAATGTGCAGAGCTGTACACGAGGGAGCAGTTGAAACTATTCACAATGTTTTGAGAYGTCATGAATCTGCAATTTTGCAAAGAAATTGCTTGCTTTTTCCTAGAGCACGCAGGCAAGCTGGGAAGGTTCCAACAGAGAAAAGTGACTTCCCAAGACAGTTGTAGAGTTTCATGCTTAGAGATCAAGTTTCTCCCAAAATTCTAATACTTGTTTCTTTTGTGCTTTTTACATGATAAACAATTGCACTTGACAACTGCAGTTATAAACAGAGCCTACATGTTTGATAATCTACAACTTAAATACACTTACTCTTCTCCCACACAAATACCCTCACACACTTGGGCTGAGAGATGTAAGATTTTTTCCAGCACTGTCACCAGTTTATTAGAGATGCACAAGTAACACAGTCCTGTGGGCCTGCATAGAAACCAAAACTCCTCTGAGSCATGAGTAACACAACATTCCACTGATCTCTAAAGACATTTATGTCTAAGACACTAAGGAGGAGCTGCAACTACAACAAACACTAAGTAAAACAAAGAAAACACAGGGATCATTGTGAACACACCAGACAGATGTGTCTTTGTTTTAAAGGAATGCTACTAAACAAGAAATTGCATGTATTAACCTAAACACCTAATTAGCTSATACTGAGGTGTTAAGCTTTCTGATCAGATAGTATTTTTCTGTATTTTGATCATTCYGTGCTAAAAAGATATTTTTTAAAATTAATTTTAAGTAAAACCAGTCTGTACTTCAAAAAGGAGCGGGCCATGTACAAGACTAAAGCCTGGGAATYATTTATCAAAAACCCCTGAGTTACTCAGGGGAACCTACAGCAAAGCTGTCACTGTGCACTTTTCATCTCTTTACTACCTGCCTATATGATTTTCCCCCTTTTGTATTCCACTGTAAAACTATTGTCTTAAGAAGGATGACACAGTACTTCCTTCGCATCCCAAGCTTTTCCCAAGAAAAGTCAAGTCACACTCTGCACTACCTATTCAAATAATTCAGAGCCAGCATCACAGTCAGCAGTAAGGGGTATTTTGGGGAGGTGTTCAAAGAGAATTCCACCAGCAAATATAAATATGCTTTTCTTTTGCACAAAGCTCTGAGTTCTGGCAAGACCTCCACATCTCCCAATACAAAGGCTTTGGCATAAGCACTTGTTCTATCCATCCCTGAGAAGGGGATAAGTGTCGCAAAATTAAAACGAATTTGAAGAATCAGAAACCAAGCCAATTCTTCCTTGAATCAGACTCCCTCAACCATCTAAACTCTCCGGTGGCCAAACATGTCAATGACTTTCTCATCCTGAATCAGAAACAAAACGAAGTACAGATTAAAAAAAAMCCTGAATAATCAAAAGTGTATATGACACTACTGGAAAGATGCATGAACTGACCATGTCAATCCACACATTTCATTATGGGACATTTCAGTCCAAAAGAGATAATGTGYAATCCATGTTATGTTTGGCACACACACCTTTCTGCTGTTGGATTCCCCACTTGGAGCCTTGAGAACTGAACTGTCGAGCTCGATTCTGCTGAAGTTCTCTTTTTATTTTGGGAGAGTATTGCTTTCTCTCTTCTTTCTTGTTCAGCTTGATTATATCATCTACAAGAAGAAAAAACAAAAAATTGACATASAGTATAAAATCTGACATACTAAATAAAAACCCCAAGCAGCCTGGAGTCACAGGAGACAGACCAGTCAATCCTGCAAAGGCAGTACATACAAATTAAGGTTCTAGAAACATTAGCACTATAAACATCCAGTCCCTCTTAAGTCTTACAGAACTTACTTTATAATACAATGCCCCGGCAGAGGGGAAGGAGTTGCATACATCCAGAAAATGCAAGAGGCTTGTAAGATTATGGCGTTTAGTCCAGCATTAAATTTTAATGACTCAATTAGTTTTTGTATACTGTTAAAGGAAATGTAAATTCAAACTCATTCCCAGACTTTGCAGAGTCCAGATAAAATGTCAATTCCAGCCTTAGTGCTTTCATCCTAAGATASTTCAGAAAGATCACACAGAGACAACTCAGGCCATCAGTTATCTACAGATGTTCACGAAGACTGAAGTGATGGGGAAAAATGAAAGACATCTCTCCCCAGGAATCTACAATTGAAAGCAATCACCTTATCTATTGTTCAGGGAAACAATGTCACACAAGTTWTTAATGAGTTCAAGAATATGTGTATGAAATAAGCTGATGAAGAAAAGTGAACAGTAGGTGTGTGAAGAGCAAATTATGCCACACCAGTTCAATTTCCTTCACTGACCTGGTAGCCAGCTCAGGAGAGAATAGTAAAGCAAGAGGTGTGGCAGCTTTTATCTGTCAGCTTGTTTAAAAGAACACCTTAAAGGAAGTTGTTAAATCGTGTTTACTGCATCCTGCTCATGAGAGCACAACAGATAAAAGTGTCGTATTTCCATAGGGAGCCTCCTCCTGGAGAGTCTTTTTTCAGTCACAGAGAGATGGAAATGTGGTTACTGTGTTTGTGTCTGAGTTCTAAKGGACTCGTAAGGAGCAGAACACAAAAGACAGCATAAAAAACATAAATAACAAAAATCACAAGTGTTATCCAATAGTTTGCATCCTGTTAAAGGAAACTAAGAGAACACTAGCTCACTTTGCTGCAAAAATKACTAAATACTCAGATCAAATCTATTAGGACAAGGAATGCTGCTAMAGGTTACTAAGGGTTTGATATCTGAAGAATCTTCTTTACCAAAGGGGTTGTCCCTGAAGCAGGGWTTCCAAACTATCCTTTTGTACACAAAGGAAACCAAAGCCACTTCAAACACAGATTCAYGCTTCACCATTCATCTGCTTCATCTTAAATCCTATTTTTGCAAGCTGCTGCACACAATGTTATGACTTTTTGAACAAAAGGATTTAAGTTTCAGCCATTCTCCTAGTTGGGTAAATGAAGGACATTTGAGACTTCATGCATTTGTTAAAGGAGCCATACTGAAGCATTCCTCTATCTGTCCTGAGATTAGAGCCCACAATTACAGCTACAACAGCAGAGTTATCTGAGTATCAGATTAAAAGCTCAGCTGATGAGCTGCACATAATGCAACAAAAATACRTTTAATTTTTATTACTACAGGAGAACTTACTCAACATCAAGACCTCAACCTTAAAAATTCCTAGATTAAGGCCATGCCAGTTTYTTAGATATCACACCAGATGTGGGACTGCATCTTCTCTTTGGTTATACCAGGCACAGAGCTTTGACATGGGGACAGTAGCCATAGATGACACTATTCTCATGCACCCAAAGAAGCTAAGGGACATATCTGCACCTGCCTCACAACACCTCAAATAAAACACGTTCATGACACTACAGCAATCCTTTGCAATCTGCTATTCGTCAATGGCCAGGACATGTAGCAGTCCTGGACTGAAAATTAAACATGGCTGGGAAACATCAGAATATGTAAAAATAGAATGAGCTGCTCAGAATCAGTAACTCTACTTATCTGAGCAACCCTGCAAACAAAGATGGTGTGCTATATGTAAAAATAGTTGATAGTTTTCTATGAATGCTGTAGTGCTACTCTACATTCAGACAAACCTTAAACATCAATTCACAAGTTATGTCCACTGCCCAAACAAAGAACTCCACTGGATTATTTACAGAGGGAAAAACTGTACAAATCCTCTTMTTTTACAGTGGCCCACAAAGACCAAATCTACCATTAATAATTCTAGTTCACACTGTGATTCTGCATTTTAAAGAAAGTTTCCTGATAGCACCAATCCATCATGCTTTGGTAGGATCACAGAGCAGTCTTGGAGTGTAYAAAATCAATTAAATTTTTTTTTCTAATAAAAGTAAACTGGAAGATGCAGTCCCGGAATACACCAAATTGTCCCTGACTGTTAAGGGACACAGGCCCAGAACAGAACTTCACTGAGATACCTCACTGAAGTTATCTACACGGTGGAGAGACACAGCTCTGCAGGTTTGTAATGAGTCTGTGCAACTTCCTAACACGCACACCCTGCAATAGGAGGGCAGGGCACAACGGGGTAGATTGTCACAGGAAACTACGTGTAGAAGCGTCGTCATGCTTGATGTGACTGSTCTTAAACTGCAAAGGGGTTAGACGGGAGACTTGCCACTGCCGACTTCCAAACCTGAGAAGAATAAAAAGGCCAGGCCAGCTGAGAGACCACCAAACTTCACCCCTCCCTGCAGTTATGAGAGCCCGGCCAGACCGTGGGACGCTGCTCGAGGGTCACGCAGCCAAAGGCCCGGGTACCGAGGGCCTCACTGGGCCAAACACAGGCAGCGCTCCGGTCTGCGGCCTGCTCGGACCACTGAGCGGCACAAAAGGGCGCCGGCTCTTCCCCAACAAGAACCGCGATCCCCGAGTCCCGCTGCTCCCGGTGACACAGCCAGGGCTCGCCCCCCGTGCCCAGGCGCCACCCTCGCCCCTCCTGCTCTCTCGCTGTGGGAGGGTCCCGGCCATTCCCCTCCCTACCCCCCCGCCCTCCTTGGTTCCGCCCGCGCCGGTGCCCGGCGCAGCCCCGTTGGTTCATTCCGCCCCTCCCTGTCCCCGGCGCTTGGTTCAGTCCCCCACCCTGTCCCCCGCAATGGCGGCCCCAGCCCCGCTCCTCACCCAGGGACATGTCGATCTTCTCCAGGCTCTCGCCGCCGCCGAGTCGGGCCCCCGCCGCGGCCGAGAAGCCCGGGAGCGGTGCCGCAGCCCCGAACGCGCTCATGGCCGCCTCCCTCGGACCGGACCGCCCCACGCCGACCCCCGCGCATGCGCAGCAGCTCCGCCCAGCCCAGGGCACGGACACCCGCGCTGGGGAGCGGCGCTGCCGCTTCTCTGGCACCGCGCCACCTAGCGGCCGGGAGGAGCAGGTACAGCGGGCGGGGGGCGATGATGGCGGGGGCGATGATGGCGGGGGGCGCGGGGTGCGGGGTGCTGGCGGCCGCTTCCAGAAGGGGCTTCTCCAGGGACAGTGTCCTTGGGAAGAGTAAGTGGCACATGGGCTGGGGTCGGGAAGTGGCGGGGGGCGCTGGGAGCCGAGCTGCAGGCAGGGAGCAGGGGAATCGGGGACAGTTGTGCCGCGGGGCACTGCGTTCTGGCTGGCTGCAGAACGGATGGGATGCTGAGATGGGTCACGGAGGTGATTKGAAGCATGAAGCATCCCTYCTGTGARCWCAGGCTGAGAGATTTGGGGGTTTTCAGCCTAGAGAAGAGAAGGCTCCGGGAGATCTCATTACAGCCCCTCCAGTACTTGAAGTGACCTATAGGAAAGATGGGAAAAGATCTTTCAGCAGGGTTTGTTGCGATAGGACAAGGGGTGATGGCTTTAAACCGAAAGAGGGTCGATTGACACTGGGTATAAGGAAGAAATTTTTTGTAATGAGAGTAGCAGAACACTAGCATAGATTGCCCAGAGAGGTGGTGGATGCCCAGTCCCTGGAAACACTCAAGGTCAGGTTGGAATGGGCTCTGAGCAGCCTGATCTAGTTGAAAATGTCCCTGCTCATGGCARGGAGGTTGGACCAGATGACCTCTAAATGTCCCACCAACCAATCTATGTTGCAGGGTAGGAAAGAGTGTTCAGCTGGGAAGCTGAATATGAGATGCCTTTGCCTGCGACCCTAGTGCATTTGAGAGAAATAACCCGTTCTGTGAACAGCAAAACCAATGCAGGGTGGTTTCGAGCAGAATTATGTTTTCAAMTGTCAAACAGCAGAGTTCAAACCACATTCCTATTTCAAAATAACATGTAAGGCTTAAAATTACTACTTAAACTCAGAACAGTATGTCCRTAGATATTTTGTTCTCTTTGGGTTCTTTTCAGAGTTATCTTCACCAGTTTTTGGTCAGAATCATGCGATTGAGCAATTCAGAAGAGAAATTGTTTTTTGAACAAGGAATGTAGGCCTTTCCCTCCTGCCTGTACATTTGCATTCTTTGGAGCTGTGGGAATTGGTGGTGGCTGTGCAATACACATGTGCCTGGTCGGCAGCCGGCTGATGCTAAACAAGTCACATGTAACAGGGCTGCATCTTTTTTACACAATAGCATTTTCTTCATGTGACACTCTATTACAGTTAAGGGATAGTAATTACCTCTGGAATCTCTACACCTTGCTCATGGGTGGTTGAAAGTGGTCAGTGAGTTCCCGAGACAGAAAAGGAAGGAACAAATGGACTGACAAAGTGATCACAAAGGATGAACTTTAGAAGCCAGGCGGTAAATGCTGGAAGGAAAATCCACATCCATTTCCCCTGCTCACAATGGTCACCTGGTATTTCTGTCCACATCTCTCCGAGTTTTCTCTGCCATTCTAAAGGTGACTTCCTTCACCATGACCAAAGGGTAGCTCATTTTAGGGTCTGCCTGCCTGCCTSCAGAGGGGGAGCTCCATACCCAGACTGCAGGGACTGGAAATACCATTGGGTAGGGATCATTATTTCCATACATGACCTTGCATACACCTCCTTCCAGCAGGAACACTCCCACATTTCTTTAATTGCCCACATATTCCAATATGCACATTTGCTAAAAAAACCCACTCCATGGCAAGTGCAATATCCCGAGTACCTGAGTGTAACCCTTGTCACAGCTCTGTCCTGCGTTGCTGGGAGCTCCCTGCACTGAAATACTGCAGGCCTTTGAAACAGATCTYTCTAGGAGTGTTATCATTAAAGGCAAAAATAAGAGGAATGAGTTGAGGTTTTCTGTCCACAGCTGTGTCCTGTACTACAGACCGTTGACAAGGCCTTGCTCTCTCCATTTACACTCTTTATCAATCTCTTCCCTTTTAAAATAAGGCCAGAATTGTGTTTCTGGATGTTCCTCCTGTTGCTTCCTACTGTCTAGAAGAGAATGGTTCAGTTACTGTCACAGGGCACCTCCAGCTAGTAAGGGATTTTCCCTTCAGGCAGGAAAAACTCATGACTGCAGTGCTGGAGGCTGACAGTTCCACCCTGTTTTCCTCTCAGTGTTCTCCGTGTGCAGCAGAARTTCAGACATGGAGTCTTGGACCCACAGATTTGATAACTTCTGATAACATTTTCCCCCAGATGACRAGTGACTGATGACAAGGAGGAGGTTCTTGTAATCAGGCTACATTTCTACAGCAAATATGCTACTGGCAGATTACTGAGAACTCCTAATAATAGAAGTGCCAAAAGATGTATTTTTTAAAAAAGCATTAAGTCAAATCCCTGTGAGGCTGTAGGGTGCAGCTCCATCTGGGGACTGCGTCACACCGATAAACAAATGCTCTGTTTACYCCAAAACAAACCTGTGAACTGCAAAGGTGGCAGATGCTGCTTGTCCCTGTGACAAGTGGAAATCAGACAAAATCCAGATTTTACCACATCATGAGTTGCGTTTATTATCCAAACAAGACACCAGCTGTCTGTTGCTCAGCACAACAGAAAACCAGGCAAAAGTTGTGATCCCGAGGAGTGTTTTCTTWCTATGTTCGAGATGGCTGGGGATCATGAAGGCAGCCATGCAAACATCAGCTCTTGGTTTGCTGTGTGGCTCTCAGGAGTGTGTCAGCACCCAGCCAAGTGACAAAGCTTCCAAGTGGTACTGAGAGCTACCAAGAGCCAATATTTGAACTGTATAAAGTCCAGTATTGTGGRTATGACTCAGCTGTGCTGCATTTGTAAGAACACTGTATGTCTAAAGCACCCACAGGCCACAATAAGGTTTGGGGCTGGTTCTTTCCTGGGCTTTCCCCAAACCTTTCCTGAGCACCTGTTTTCTCTTCACAAAAATGAGACTTCATGGCTTGTCTGCCCAGTAGCCCCTACTGTTTCAGTAGGAGGATTTGCAGAGGAATTGTGGAGAAATTGCAGAATAGATGTTTCCTGCTGAACATGCAGAGATTCCCAGGACGAGGTGTTAAAATTCCCAAGCAGAAAAAACACTCAAAGGATCAAATGCTAAGTGCACTCAAAGATTTAAAACCAGAGAGGACTGTTTAGTCCAAGCTGAATGTTGTGAGCTGTGGAATATCACACCTACATTGATTCCATGTTTATATATATAACATACGTTTACAATTATTGACCTCTATTGGCACTCCTTAAATTTTACACTGCAGGGTTAATGYCCAGTTTAACCTCAGTGCAGAGCCAGAAGCTCACATGTCTGTGTGTGACTAGAAGCTTTTTTTTTAAATGTCTTTTTATATGCTTTCTAAATTGATGTGGGCATTGACAGAGGTTAAGTAAACAATGACTGTAAGTAACATATGCAAACCAACATTATGAAGCAGTTGAAGAGGAGTTTTCTTTTTTCTGAAGAAATTTAAGAGTCACTGTTGAGCACCGAACAGCCAAGCTATTTCTGGCTTGTGGAGCTAGAAGCATCTTGTAATTCCTGATTGAGGAGCTAAATTAGATCTGTTAGCTTTATCTGYATGCTTCATTTCACCAGACATGATCATCAAACAATCACACTAGTCCTGATGACTTGATTTCCTGCAATATATTTACTCTGAGAGTCAACACAGTCTGATGCCCTGAGACTTAACATGCCATGTAGAGCCAGTTTTCAATCAGTGCAATAGGCTCTATCCAAGGAATTTTTCTGCCTGACAGCTGGGCTCAGGTTGTTGTTCCACACTTGTATACAATTGCTATGCATGAGGAGTCCTGGTCTCTTCATTAAGCAACTTCTGTAAAGTATGTTGTTGTTGTTATCTGTACCCATGTGCTGCAGAACTACTGCAATGTAAAATAAATCACACAGAAAATGTCAGGTCAAAGGGTGTTTTTTTCATGTATGCAGCATATATTTATCATTACAAGTGACAGTTATAAGGAATTTCCATTATATAAATGCCTAGCTTTGGTTTCTGMGCAGAAACTCCAAAGACGTATCTAGAGTTTATCTCTGACAGTAATTACTCATTGACTAGTCTCAGTCTTAAGGCAGCAGCATCACTTTTTCCTTTTTGAAGTTTCATTCCAGTGCATCTCGGTGGAAGGTACACCTAATTCTGCTGTTATTTTTCACATCCTCCTCAGAGTGGGCGATASAACAGAACCCTTTCCGTTTCTCTGTCTCTGCAGGTGTGATCAGTACATCAGGGTTACGCTGTTTGTTTGGGTTTTTTTTCCCTTGCCGCCACATTTTCCTCATCGCGKCCGAGGCAGGATTTGGTAAGGGTTATCTCAGCAATCACCGTGATTTTTCCCCGCACTTTGAAGTCGGGGGGACACCGAAAGATCCGCGGCGGCGAAGCCTGAGGAGAACCATCCACCATGGCTCCCGATCGCCGCAATGCCCGCCGGGCGTTGTAGTCCGCCGGGCGTTTATTGCGCCGGGGAGTCGCGGTGCACGCCGGGAGCTGTAGTCCRTGGGTGCGGCGGGGCGGGGCGGGCGCTCGCCCCTCCCGTGTGACGGTGTCGCGGCGGCGGCGGGGCCGCGGGCGCCCGGAATGGAGATCGGGCCTCACGCGGGGCAGGCGGAGAGCAGGTGGGGCCGCGCCCGGTGGGACACGCGCGGGAGGGGCGGGTGCGAATGTCCCGGGGACGCGGCCCGCGTGGGCGCCCGTCGGAGGCGTGACACGGGGCGCGGGTGTGGTGCCGGTGCCGCGGGTGTGGGGTGGCAGGGTCCTGTGTCTGCACGCGTGGGGTGGCGCACACTCGCGCGTGTCTGTGTGTGTGCAAGTTATCTAGGGCGCGGCGCGGGGTGTGGGTGCAGGGACACGGGTGGCAGCAGTGCCTTGCAAGCAGTGCCTGCTGCCTGGGAAGCAGGAGGKATGCGCATGGGATGCTCCTGGGGAGCTCATGTCCTGCGTGGGTGTGTGGAAGTGCGCGCACAGAAAGCTTCAGGGCACGGGTGTGGGGGTAGCTGGGGTCGATCAGGGAATGAGCAAAACCCCCGTGAGTGGGGTCAATGCTTGCAGAGTGTCACACTGCACCCGGTTTGGTCCCTCGTGTGGGAAAGCACACAGTGGGCCGGGCTGTCAGAGCCATCACCCACCCGAGGCCAGCACAGTGCTCTGCCCCATGCCCTCGGCAGGAGTCTTGGCCACTGGAGGGACAGTGACRAACGACCACGGGTGTGTACCGTCAGTACCTGGTGCTGTGTCCCCACTCTGATCCCCATCAGCCATGGCCAACCCAGCAGCTGCCAGGCCTCTGCTTCACCCGCCTTGAGCTTAAGGGCGAAACCGCCCCGCCCTGACGCTGCTCTGCCACCTTTCCATAGGCTCTGCAGCTTGTTCTGAGATCCTGTGTCCTTTCCCTCCTGGCTGTTGTCTGCATCTCCTCTCTAGGTGCTGAACAGAAATTTATTTATCTCTTTATTCGTGAAGGTGAGGCCTTGTGCCTGCACGTGAGCATGGCCATGCTGCGGTGACCTCCGTGGTCTTAGTTTATGCTTCAGGCCTGGTTTTTCTTGTTAGCATTTATGAGTGCAGCAGAGGCTGTTTCCTGGAGGTGTTTTGATGACGAGTCTTATTTACTTCAGGTTTTTACATGTGCTTTGGTTTTGCCTTGGTGCTTACAAGCACAGGGTGAATGTTGGATGGAAGTTGGGAGTGTTGGCTAGGGAGGAAGGAGCAGCTGAAACTTGATACGGGAGAGAAACTTTCCTTATCTGAGGGGCTCAGCCAGTTGCTCTATTCCTGCTTGCCATATCAGCTTGGAAAATGCTACCGGTGTTTTTAARGCTATAGCACAGGTTTGGGGTGCCTTCCAATTTGCACGGTTCGAGCTATTCTCCCTCTTTACTAATGGTTGCTTCAGACACAGCAGGTTCCAAAAGGCAAAAGAAATTGACTGCATTCACTGCTTTCTTTCCAGAATCATCTTTGTGCATTTTCTTGCCTTTGCAAGCACAAGTCCTGCACTACCAGACTCTGCCATCGTGCGACTGATAGGGCTGGGGTGGTGCCACCCTCAGCACGTACCCAGGGACAAGGAGGGCATCATCCCCCATCAGTGCTGGCACATGCAGGGGCCTGCTTGTTCTTTTGGCTGGCACTGATGCCTTGGGGAGGATCCCGCATGGGCCTTGCCCTGCCTTGTCCTTTGTGTRATGGGGTTAGCATTTTTATTCCTAGTGAGGTGCCATTTCACACTAGATTGTGGCAGTTACTGATAGTGATAAGATAGAGATCACTGGATCCATCTTCCTGCAGRTTACARAAAATGCAGAAGCAAAAGTTATTTTGCTTAAGTCCATCCTTCTGCCAGCACAGTAGAGGAAAACTAGGATCTTGTGCTGCATTTTTCCTCCTAGCAGCAGGTCTGAAATGCATCGAGTGGCAGGTCTGTAACACCAGTTTCCATGGAGGCATGGCAGGAAGGTTGGTGCTGTCRTGCTGGGCAGGGAGAAGGGCTCTTGGGGTGGTGCAGAGGACACAGCAGTCCTAGGGGGAGCARATGGGCCAGTGGTCAGCTGGGCAGGTTAGCAAAGAGCCACCACCTTTGGCTCTGGCACCAGCAAGACCCTAAGGGACAGCAGGGCCAGAGGAGAGGGTTCCTAAAGGGAACCTGTGCTATGAGCAATGCAGGGATGTGAGTGACTGCCCTCAGGGGGATGTGCTGCTGTGGGGATCGGCTCTGCCTGTCACTGCCTCTGGCTGCCTGTGTGCTTGCCACAGGCAGATCTTGTGCAGATTGAAGCCCAATGGACAGTACCCTGCATCCSCAGGTTGTGGTCATCTGCTTGTGAGAGACTTAGCCAGATGAGCAGGTAAAGCTATCTGGTTAAAAAACACCTTTGATCCCTAATTTCTTCCCTCATGCTTTGCCAGTGCAGAGCAAGAGTGTGTCAGTCAGCAGCCGCTCTGGGCTGTGTTTGCTGGGGGCATCTTTTGTCATTGTGCCCCCGTTTTATATCAGTGCCAGCTTTTAGCACGGATGCAAGTTACCCTGCATGTCCCTTTTCCAGCCAGCCTGCTCTGCTATTCCTGCCCATCCCTGCTGGGCTGGCAGAGCTCTTCTGGCTTCCTTTGCTTCGTCAGCCACTCCCCGCGACTGCAGATGAATTGCACGAAGCCTGGCTTTCTTTTAATCCCTTTTCCCAGCAGTGCTGAGCCTGCCGGAGGAGCAGGCGGGGGAGTCCAGGGAAGGGGCTGCTGGTTGTCTGGGAGATCTGGGGACAGCGAGGCGGGAGCAGGCTCTGCGCAGGGCAGGTTACGTGGCGTCTTCGGTTTCTGCAGGAGGAACTGACGGCCAGCACAGGAATGAATGTCCTTGGAGATTTGTCAGAAGTCCTTCCATAACCTCAGCATCCTCRGCCTGACCTCTTTAGTGTGCTAAGAAGGATCAACAGTCTTCCAGGTAGAGGTCGAGATTCAAGCAGCCATTGCTGGGTGCCTCCTGCAGAGCACAGGAGACACACTGCAGATGACGTTTGCAGGAAAGATGAGCTTCATTTTTATTTTTCATTTTTGAATGCTGGCTACCTGTGTGGTTCTATCTTGGAAAATAATCAGGGTTTGGTTTTATTTTAAACAAAGAAGTCAGCAGCATGGCTCCCTGCCTCTGCTGTGAGTCACGTTTGCTGACTTGGACCAGAGGAAGTTCCTACCCTTGCTGCCATGGAGGGGCTGAGAAAGCCTTGGAAAAGCAAGCTGCATTCCCTGTTGTCAGCAGTGGCAGCATTAAACCATTCCTTGCTTCAAGGCTGCATTCTGTCTTTTATTACTCCAGTTCAGTATAGGTTCAGTTATATTTGGGACAGTTCCTAATGGCAGGTTGATGGTGCTGTACCTGAAGATGGAGTTTGTTGCGTAAAGAAAGGAGACTCAGTGCCAAGTTTGTGGAGCTGGTGGTTAAAATTGGAGGCTGGATCAAGAGGTTGTTTTTAARGGGGAAGAAGGATGAAGCTGAGGTCTCACCACTGCTCTACGGCTCCTGCAAGCACCCTTGGCCCTTCTGGGTGGAGAAACCAGGCTCTGCTAGAGGAGGAGAGCAGAAGCACGTGTAGTTCTTGCAGGTGAAGCTTTGCTTGTGTTCTGTGACCCTCTGGGCCATTACTCATTTTGGCCTTACTGTAAATTGGGGTGTTTTAATGATGTAATATGAATTGGTCTTACCCCATACTGGGCTTTCTATGTCACTAGCAAAGGAGAATTCTTCCTATTCAGAAAAAAAAAATCAGATTTCTTAGTAATGCTCTGAAACCAGCAGAAAAGGGAACTTGGGCTTTCTCCATCCCTCCTGGCAGCTGAAATCCAGGCTCTGTCAGTGGGTGGGGAACAAACCTTGCTGCTAATTCAGGGTTGCCCAGAGTCTGGTCAAAGCTGAAATATGGTTAGCTGTGCTCTCAATTTCCCTGCCACCTGCAGCCAGCTATATGGGTCTTCRTTTCTTGTGACACCTTGTGTCACTGTGTGCTTTTCAGCATCCAGCCCAGAAACAGCTGGGATTTGGGCATCAGAAAGATCTTGTGTGTCCGACTTGGGAACTGCTTTGGGCCAACAAGTCGGGACTTACTGTCCTACCAGGATTTAATTCACTTTTGGGGGTTCAAGATCACCTCTACAAAGGTGCTTTAATTAAGCTGCTCATTCTCTATGTGCTTCTCTGTTCAATGTGTTAACATTTTGAGGTTATTTTGTTCAAGGACTGCTTACCTTTAGTTTCCCTGTGCTAGGAGAGAGCCATGGATCCTGCTTTCCTACCTATTGAGATTCACAAGTCCTTTAATGAGACCATTCATTTGGAAAGGCACATCTCTGCGTGTGCTATCCTCACATCCTTGTGTGCATTGCCTGCTTTTTATAGCRTGAAATAACATGGGAGGGAGTTCCCCTGACTCACTGCCTTGGAATATCAATGGCATGGCTGAGCTTTCACTTGCATTTCTTAACCCTGAGTGTCAGAAATATCTTRGGGAGGAGCTGGTGACGTTTTGAACTCAGTGGCTGCAGGTGCCCTTTGACCGGGRACTATTGATTCCTTTCTGGGCACTCACAGACAAAGAGCATCTGCATCCCTCAGGGCAGGGATGGGAAAAGTCCATAAATTCAGAAGAGCTGGATCATTTTTTTGTGTCTCCCTGAGTTGTATCTCCTTCAGGGAGCTGCCTTTGATTYATATCTGTGCATTTTTCTTCAGTCTCTCCTGAGATAGAGCCCTAACCATGTCTGTTAGTCTGAGTACAACACACAGATATACTGCCATATGCACTGCAGCTCTGGTTTAGAGCTYTGTGACAGGCTTTGCTGGTGGGATGGGTTGGCTTCTGTGTGGTTTAAGCTTAGGCAGACACTGAAAGTGGTGATGTTTTCCTCATGAGGAAGGGCAGTGAATGGGGAGCTTGAAGCAGAGCCAATAAATAATGATCTGCTTGTTCAGCTATTCAGTTTGGCAGTAATGAACTACTCCCAAAAAGAGAATATTGGTGAGAAAAACTTTTTTTTAATTACCAGAAGTGTGCGGCCCATGCTTTGATTCCCCAAGGGATGAAAATGRGAGCAGTTTTAAATAATGTTATGTATTGTAATTTTTTTTCTTTTGCTTTCTTTGGAAATCCAGTTTGTTTTTTTGCTGTGGGAGGAATTAACTACTGAAACACTGTTTTGTTCTTGCCAGTTGAAAAGATAAATTTTCATTCTAATGTGCCAGTTCAGCTTCTTTTGTTATGAATGCTGCAGAGACATACTTTTTTGTTATTTACACTGCTAGCTATACCTTGCAACATTCCTGTTTCTTCTGGGAGAGTGGCTCTTATTTGAATACGTGTTTCTGACAGCTGCTGTTTATCTATGGACACTGTCAAGCACCTTGAGTGGGAACCTCAGTCATCCAAAGCTTCCTTCCCCAAAGCTGCTTTTGCATAGGCAAATGGTGTTACCTCTCTGCACCACCACTCCTGCTCTGTGGTAAATAATGGTGATTTCTTGCTGTATGTAGGGCAGCTGAGGCAGATGATACTGATGAGTTGTTGTGCATTCTCTAGAGTTCACCAGCAGTTTGCTGAGCTCTCTGTTCAGAACATGATGAAGGCTTTTGCAGGTTGCACCTAGAGCAGTTCAAGGCCCAGAGAATAGCTGTRCAGCTGGAGATGCAGATGAAGTGTCACCTCCCTGCGAGAGGAGTACCTCTGCATCCTGACAGGGCTGGAGTGCTCGATGTGGTGTGCATTGCTCAGGGAGTGCTGCTCTGTAAATGCAGGGTCAGTCGATGTAGTGGCCCTCAAACCCTTCCTTTCAGCTGCTGTGCTCCTAAKGGGCTGCTGCTCCAAGAGAGAGCATGTCCATGAAGCAAGATCTTGTCTAGAACGTTAATCCCTAGCTTTTTTTTGGCCCAGACTGGGCAAGTGGTACATTGGAGGAGCCATTAGTCTGTTCTGTCTCCTTGTGGTGCTTACTAGTCATCAGCAGAATCATTACAATATAGCCAGTTRTCCACAAACCATGCAGGGAGCTGTAAAGTGCTTCAGCTCACCTTTGCTATCTTCTGGACCACCAAAGGTTTCTCCCTTTTGTGAAGCTCCTCTTGCTATATCTCTGATGCATCTTGCTGTGTTCCTCTGCAGGAAGGAGCACTGGAAGCTCCTTGGCAATCTAAAGACCACAGTGGAAGGTTTGGTGTCCATCAGCAACCCAAATGTCTGGTCCAAGTATGGCGGCTTGGAACGGCTCTGCAGAGACATGCACAGCATCCTCTACCATGGGCTCATCCTTGACAAGGTACACCTCTGTCCTGCCAGCACAGCTGTCTGTCTGTCTGTCTGTCTGTCTGTCTGTCTGTCACAGCCTCAGTGCCTGTCATAAGCAGGTGCTGCAACTCACTTCTGTGCTCACAGAACAGAGTGAGCACAGTGCTTGTAGCTTGTGTGGGAAATGATCCAAGAAGGGACTGAGTTTGCCTGGCAAATGCTGTGGCTGTCAGAGGGATCTGGGTGCAGGTTCTTTTTATATCTCATCTACTTTCAGTATGATTTTTTTCTAAGCACTTGTGCCCCCCGTGCTGAGGCCAGCCCCTCGTTCCTTTCTTTCTGCTGCAGCCAGGCGATTAAATTGCATTTGCAGTGAGTCAGCCCGGTATCATCTGCACTTGGACAAGTCCCCAGCAAGGCCTGGCAAGAGAAACCTCGCATCTTTACTGTTTCTGGTTAACTGTGTTAATAACAGGAGCTGGCAGCCAAACGCGCGCTCAGCTTSATTGGGATCACTCTTTCCAGGCTCTTGTTATTCCTGCAGTTGCCCATCCACCCTTCCCCCCTTCCATAACTGCCTGGAAGAATTTCTCTTTCCCACTCCTGTGCAGAGGCTTGAAGATCTCCCCTTCAGCTTACAATTACCAGCACAATTAATTTAYAGTAGAATGCTGAAACAAGGCTGCAGGTCATGCTTGGGGACAGGCTTTCCATCAATGGCTCTGCCACCCAGAGAGAGGAGAGCGGCACAGAGGAGCCCCAGGCAGCTTGCATGGGCTAGCTGGGCCCCGGATCAGGAAAATTGCTCGTGTGCAGTGCTGTGCCTAAGCTAATAAACCTCCAGGAAGAGCCAGACTGGAAGGTTGTCCTAGCAGGGAGCTTTGATCCCTGGATTTGTTAAGTTTGCAGACAGCTCTTGTTGTGGTGCTACTCGGTTCCTGTWAGTCCCCAGCTGCATGGACCAGGGACCTTCTCTGGGAGATTGTCAGAGAGTGGAATTACCTTTTCCATGTGAGGAGTTCAGTGCTCCTTTCTGAGAYACCTGCTATTCATAGGCTTTAGGAAGTGAGGTTTAAATTATTTATACTTGTCTGGCTGTTGGTARCAGTTCATGCCAGATCTGCAAAGCAGGATGGTGTGGTGCTCTGCTCAGTGCTTTTACTATAGGCAAAGACAGCTCTTCCACACAGGAATATCTCCTCTGCTCAGGCATGTGTGACACCAGTGAAGCTATAGGAGTTGCAAAGGGAGGCCTATGAAAATACAGCTTCCTAACAGCAGTTGTCTCATAGTTGCTGCAGCAAAACATTTCCATTTAGTTCTTAATTTCTTGACAACTTTTTTGGCTACAGCTGGGAATTAAAAAAAGGTGAAAAAATCCATATGTATGCATTAAGAGAACTAGTGTAATAGGTTTTTAAACTTTTGCGTGAATTATTTTATTTATCCAGAAAACCCAATTCAGTCTAGAGAACTAAAATTGCCTGTTTTCTCATCTTATAAAACAAACTACTCTGCCCGCCAAACCAAATAAACCACCAAGCAGAAGCCATTTCTCTGTTACTTGTGAAAGAGGAAATAGGGATGGAAGTAAAAATAATCAGCTTTTTGGCGAGGAGACACTTTTTGGGTCTGTGTTTACAACCAATAGGGTGGTGAGGAAAACAGCAACTCTGCTGCAGTTCCTGTCTAACGGGAAGAATAAGCAAAAACCTCATTGTCTGAATAAAGCTGAGGCAAACAGCATGTCCKCTCATGGCAGCAAGGGACTAATGGGAATGTGCTTCTTTTACTGGCACCTGGGAGGTGGTACCTGACTGTGCCTGTCCTGGGCAGGTGTGCTGCAGACAGAAGGATTACTGGCAGTTTGTGAAGGACATTCGCTGGCTGAGTCCGGGCTCTGCTCATCACCTGGAGAAGGTGGGTTCTGGTGGGGTGGCCTTGTGTGCCCAGCGGGAGGGGAAAGGGCAGCTGGGCTGGAGCCTCAGCCGTGGGATGGTGGTGCCTGGGCTGTTGTGATTAAAGTGGTTCCATGGCTTGTGGAGGCTGAAGCAGCCATGTGTTTGGGTACAAGCCATGTCCTGGGAACTCAGTGTGGCTTGGGCTGAGACAATCAGCTTCTTATTTTTCCCAGGCCAGTCTCCAGCTGGGCTGGGTGCAGCAGGCATCACCAAGGGAACTGGCACAAGCAGTGCTTGTGTGTATGCAGGGGTGATTCATGTGTCTGTGCAAATCTCTAAGGGTCTGGGYTGTCTCATTTCTGGGTTGTGACTTCACCATGCATTTATTCACCCATTCCTGACTTGTGCCAACCTCTGGCACATGCGGATGCTTCTGGTCCTCAGCTGTCCCATGCTGACATCCATGGGTCCTGCCATGGATGGCCACACAGGGCTGGTCACTGCTGGTCCCTGTGTCCAGCCTGCTGCTTGGGGAATGTGGGGTATAACAGGCCAGCTCTGYAAGCTGCAGCAGCTCAGGCATTGCCTCAGCCTTCCACAGTTAATGTGTCAGCAAGAAAACAACCATCACCAGTGGGGTCAGGTTGGATTTGGGAGCATGGGGTCCCTCCAGGTCAGGGCAAGGCTCACGGGTGGGAGAGTGTGCAAGAGAAATTCACTGTGCTGGTGGCTGTCAGAGGACTTTGATCACTGGYTGACCTTTGAAGTGTTGTTCCTGCCTGGTGTCTGGGGAGCTGCTGGGACATGCCCTCCTTCCTGCTGATTGTGACTGGCACTGGAAAGCTGCTGTTATCGAGGGGACCAAAGCCAAGCAGTGGAATGAGCCTTGCTCYCCTTCTTGCCTCTGCCTGCCWTAACCTGTGCCTGACATCCCTTTCCAGTTCATCAGCCTTCAGGAGAGTGGCCAGTGTGACCCCGAGGCCTCAGGAGACAAGGCCATTTCCCAGCTGTGGCTGCAGCACAGCCTGCAGTGCCACTGCCTGTCGGCACAGCTGAGGCCGCTCCTGGGGAACCACCAGTACATCAGGAAGTTCTATGCAGGTAAGGAGCAATGGTCCTTTTCCTTCTTACTGGGAAAATATCTAGCTGGTGGCATTTCCAAGCTGTGTGGGAGTGGGGGAGGACAGCAGAAAAGTTGGTTTGCATGTGAGCAACCAGTGTGTCAAACCACGTGGGTGAGAAGGATTTCCTTGAGCAGCATTTTTTCCTCCCCAGATACTGCCTTCCTGCTCAGTGACGCCCACGTCACGGCCATGCTGCAGTGCCTAGAAGCTGTTGAGCAGAACAACCCCAGGCTTCTGGCTCAGATTGACACMTCCATGGTGAGTTGAGGTCCCAGATTTTACATCTGGCTCCCCTCRGATGCTGACTGGCTGTGGCAGTTCCTGCAAGGTCACATTCAGGGCACACAGTGTCCTCGGACAATGGGCTGGATTTGCAAGCAGTAAAAAATTGTTTCAAGAGGGGAGGAGAGTGGGGAACTGGTCCTTGTGCTGCCTGTGTGACCTGTCAGGGTTCAGAGTGGGTGGCTGTGTGGAGCCTGTAGTGGGGCATCTTGGTTCYGACTTGCACCAAGGGTTTCAGTGGAACATTGAGGGACCAGTTCTTGTAAAAGGGACCTTTAAAGTCCTCTCTAACAGACCCAGGTTTCAGGGCCAGCATGCAGAGCTGCCTGGTCATGAGGGACAGTCACCCTCTGAGGGGATGCGCAACACCCTAGAACATCTGGRTGCCTACTCCTGCTCATTACGCCAGTGACCCCCAGTGCAGCCCTGTGTCAGCTACCCCGTCTCCAGAGGAGGGGAACAGCAGCTGCCTTCTTTGCACAGAGCTCCCCAGAGGAGAGCAATTAATGTGGCTTCATTAAATGGGGGYTGTGTTCTTTCAGCTGGCGGGCACATCACTGCCGTCCCTGTGCGCGTCAGACCCTGCTGCTGGGACAAGAGACATGTGTGATCACAGCGCTAAGGGACACCAGAGCCGTCTGCCRGGAGCGCTGGGCTGCCTGGATCATTTCACTGAGAGCCTGGTAATTTCCCAGTGGGAGTCTGTCCTGTAGCTGTGAACAGAGAGCTTATTCCCCTCTGTGCTGCTGTGTTTTTCCTTCCCCTGTTCCCTGGGCGCAGCATCCTTTGTGGATGGTGACCAGGCATTCACAGATCGATCCCTTTCTGTTGCTGCTCCTTTAGCATGTATGCCTTAGATGCTGATTTATTGATGATGCCACCTCTCTTCAGCTTGCCAGGAAGAGTGACAATCCATCTCCAGTGACCAAGAGTCAGAGCCTGACTGCTCTCCCTGCATCCCCGTGTGTCCCTGCTGCCACCTGCACACAGCAGCGCTGCTTTGGGTCCTTCTCCAGCCTCCAGCATCCAGCCTCCTCTGGCCTCTCAGGTATCAAGGGTGGGCTGGGGAGCTCAGGGTAGACCCAGAAAAGGTTTTACCTTTTTATCTGCTTATGTGTGTTTTGGGGTGGATGGGTATGGAAGATTTGTACCCATGATRGGAGGGAGGGATTTTTCAGTGATGGGTGGGCATGTTGGGGTGAAACCACAAGCTTATTGCAATAAGATGGTCTCCTTATGCCAGAGTGTGTGAAATTGTGCTCCTGCCTCTGTCCAGACAGGAGACCRGTGAGTTCCTGTAGTAGCTCCAACTCCAGCCAGCCCCAGGAGCGCTGTCCGTCCACACGGTCCTCCTCCTTCAGCGAGGGCAGGTCCCCTCTGGAGCAGCCTGGCTCTGTCACCCGCTTCCACGTSCCCTCATCCAAAGACCCCTTCTCTCCAGCCAGCGAGATGAGCTCCAGCACCACCAGCCAGAGTGAGGATACTTGGACAGGGAGCCAGGATGATCCACAGAGTGATGTTAATGACGGGCCGGAGTACCTGGCCATTGGGAACTTGGGACGCCGGGGCCGCACATGCAGCAGCGCCAGTACCAGCAGCACCAAGAGCAGTAGCTCCAAAATCTTCTCCTCCAGCAGCTCCCAGAAGCTGGACTCAGTATCATCCCTGGGGGAGCAGGGAGCAAGTGGAGGTAGCAGCAGGGGCATAAGTCTGTTGCGCCGGTCCAGCTTCTCAGAGGGACAGTCATCAGCTCCACAGGGCATTCTCAAGAAGAGCCATRTGCGCTCACACTCTGACACCAACGTTACTTCTGGGAAGTTGCACGGTAAGGAGACAGCTTTTCTGGTATGGCTTTTGGGTATGGGAGTCCCTGGTACCAGAAGGCTGATATTGGCCACCCGCTTGACTCCATGGATCAGGTTGGGAAGAGGAACAGTGGACGAGTCTTGGTTGGTGTTTTCTCTTAGCTTTTCAGCTCCACATTGGAATGATGGGATAACATCTTGCTCCCCAAAATGCCCTGGGCTGGACTCTCCCTGGTATTGCCAGCTTTTACCAAAATCTTAGAAAATGGCAGCAATGCTGTGGCATCAGCTGTCCTGCTTCCCCACTGGCCTTGCTTGGCTGGGATATGGGACTGGGGCCTGGGCTCATCCTACTGGTAGGCTGTGATCCCACTGGTAACCTGCTGGGTTCTCCTGTGGTCTTGAGTAAGTGATTATGTGGGGTTTGGGAGAGTGGGATGTGAGGGGACAACCATTCTGTGGGATTTTGCCCTGGTGCTGCCTTCACTGGAGAAGTGGAGGTCCTTGCTGAGTWGTAACCAGTCTGTCTCTGTTTTCTCTCCCTTAATGCTGCCCTTCTCCTCCTCTGTCTGTCCAGGAGGCCTCAGGGATATCACCATTATAATAGAAGATCCAGTGGCAGGTTTGGGAGCCAGTGTAACAGCCCTTCATTAGTGATCATTACATCAAGTTCAGGATTGCCATTAAACCATCAGTGTTCATTTAGAAAACCAGAAAAAAACTTTCTTTGCTGTGTCCCAGCTGATGCTTTGCAGTGTGGTCTGGTTCATGCATGCGCCTGACCGAAGATCCCAGCTTGGTTTGTGGAAGCAGTGAACCACATCCAGAAGTGTGTCCAGCTCCCCTGGATGGCGTTAGGGAGCGCTGGTCACCAAGGCTCTGAGCTGTATCCCCTGCCCTTCCCTCCACCCACTGCCTCAGGAGCCAGGAGAGCTTTCATCTCTAGTGMATAAGGGTTGGCAGCTAAGCAGCCATGGGCTCTAATTTTTCCTTTTATTTTGTGGGTCTGTGGCACAGGGAGGYTTGATGTTGACTGATTTCCAGTGTATGTACCCACAGCCGAGACTCCTGGATGCTCTTCTGGGCTCAGAGCAGGTTTTCCCCTGAGTGGAAATGTTGGGATGCTGTCATCCCTTTGCTCCACGTGCAGAAAGTGTCAGCAGCTCAAAAGAATGGGCTGTTTTGTTTTGCATCCACTGAACAGTGGCGCTGGGTTTGTTGAGCTCATATCTGGGTGCTGAGGGTWCTGTGTCTGGGAAGGCTCTCCTCAGGGGTGATGGGTGTTCAGAGAGMTGTGTCCAGCCCTGTGTCCTGCTCCAGCAGATGATGCTGAGCACTGCCTCACTTTACCCTTCAGCAGCAGACTCTGTTGTATGTGGCATCCCTCAGGCATCCTCCCCATGAGGTGGTTTCTGTGTTGAGGTGGCTGCAGGTCACCCTGTCAGGCTGCAGTGAGTAGCTGTGAATGCCTACCACCCTGACAAGCCTCCTTTGTCCCCCAGCCTGTGGGGTGGGTTGATCCTTGATCCCAGGCCCCATCCTGGTGACTGCTGCTTCATGGCCTTGACAGGGAGAGGCTGGTATTGGTGGGCCCAGGAGCCTCCAGCCACATCAGAGTTATGGCACAAAGCTGGGAACAAAAGTGCGTAGGAGGTTGAGAGGGCAGTGTTGCCCTTGTGTTGTGCTCATGATGTCAGCTGGTGCATGCCCTGTATCAGAGCTGTGTGCTCCAGGCAGGGTGTTTCCAGTATCCTTCAGCAGTCCTCTGTCASCCAACCACTCCATCCAGGTGCTCCCTGGGGCCATAGCTCTTATAGAGCACCACCTGTTCTTGGTCTCCGGTCAGGCCAGCTCCTGGCAGTCTCCACTGGCTCAGTCTGGCAGGGAGTTGCACCGCAGTGCATGCGTGGGGCACAGCCCTGCCCACAGCCCGTGTAGGTCACCTTGAGCACTGCAGCCAGGCTCCAAAACTGTGTGTGGGGATCCCTGCCCTACAGTGGAGCCAGGAGCATGTCCTTCAGATGCCTCCTTACACAGGTGTCCAGGCTTTTGCAGTCTGGGACCTCCACAGATCCCTTAGCTGCTTATGTTTCCCCATATCTTCTCTCCTGACTCTGTTCTGGGGGATAACTCTTCCCTCAGAGATGCTCCAGCATGAAGAAGGGGCTGGCAAGAGGTGCTTGCTGGAGGCTGTTGTGTCCCCCAGCTCTACTTGGGGCAAACAGAGAAAGGCTCAGGACTCAACTGTTCCATTGCTCTCATGATCTTCTCCATTCCCCTTCTCCTGCCTGAAATGCCTTTCTGGTTTTGTYTCCTCCTGGGCTTGGCCTCAGCTGTGGCATGGAGCAGGAAGATGTCCCTCTTTATTTCCATCCATTTGTGCCTGTGTGTGTGATGCTGAGCCCTTTTCATTTCACCCTGTRCAGTGGCTGGGCTCCTCTGAGGTACTGAGGTGTGCCTGGTGTCACCTTCCCTTCCAGAGTCCCATGGTGATCCAGGTGGAGGGAGAGGGCCRATGTCTGCTTCCACACAGAGCAGTGAACTGAGCACACCCAGCTCCCTCTACATGGAGTATGGTGAGTACAGCCAGCCCCAGCAGGGACACTTGACCCTGGTCAGGCTCCTCCACGGGCTGCAGTGGCCTCAGCTGCTGGCACCTGCTTGTGGGATGCTGGCAGGGCTTGGTGGCATGGAGACAGCAGCTCCTTCCCTCATACCTGTGTCTCTTGCTTTTCTAGACTCAGGACAGTACCTGAGCTCTGGGGAAGGAATGTTCAGGAGACCTTCGGAAGGGCAGTCCCTCATCAGCTACCTCTCTGAGCAGGACTTTGGCAGTTGTGCAGACTTGGAGAAGGTGAGGSAAGCAGCAGAAGCCTGTGTGTGTTGGAGAATGTATCTTACTGCAGGTTYAGGGATACTTCCTGCTGTGGGGAGGATAATGCCATGTTATTGCCTGCTGTAGAACTGTGCACAGAACTCCAGGGTTGAGCTCCTTGGTGGTGTCTGGGAGCCAGGATCTGACCATCCATTATATACACAGSAGATCTGCAACATGTTAGGATCCCTCAGGGCTATGTGCTGACCCCCCCCAGAATGGATGTGTTGTACATCCTCTGTATAGGATGCCTCTTGTGTTTTGTTGAGTATTCCAGTGCCCAAAAAGGCTTTGTTTTCTAGATCCTCTTAGAAGAGTCATGTTTTGCAGGACTGACAGAGATTAATGTCTTTCACCACCATCCATGAGTCATAAGCTCTTTCCTGTCATAGGTGGAAAACAAAATTTTACCAAGTCTTTCTAGTTTATCCAAGGCATAGCCTTGAATGCTTTTGGTTTTGCAGGAAAACGCCCACTTCAGCATCTCAGAGTCCCTGATCGCTGCCATTGAGCTGATGAAGTGCAACATGATGAGCAGGCAGTTGGAGGAGGAGGAGGAAGATAGTGACAAGGAGATWCAGGAGCTTAAACAAAAGATTCGCATTCGGCGCCAGCAGATCCGCACCAAGCACCTGTTCCCTACCTGCCAGGAGATGGGCTCAGACAGTGGGTGATGTTTTCTGTCCATTGCCTGTCCTGTAGCATCCTGCCTTCCTGCCCATTCCTTGGAAACAGTTAAATTGCTACCAAGGTGGTGCCAAGATTTGTGAAACTGCTGCTATTGAAGATCATAATGTGACAGATACCATACACTGATAACACTGCTGTCACTGAGTTGTGGGATGTATTTTCATCTTGAACCCATAGTGTTTTCYATTCTTTAGCTGCATCCCTCCCTTCCCTGGCTGTACCTGGCTATCCACTTCTCCCATAGCTGTCAGTGACCCTTCAGAGTACTTCCACTGATGACCTGGCTGTGATGCATTTCTCCCAGGTCTCATGGCAACAGACAGTGGGTCCCAGTTCAGCTCCCATGGCTCCATGCGGCTCTCTGACTCTGGCTCTGTGGAGGATGTGGAAGAGTACGAGATCCGAGGTAGGAGGGAATGGCTGTGTTGGCTTCTTTCATAGAACAGGGTCCTCCTTCTTGTGGTTGTGTTGGGGTCAATCCTGCTGAAGAAGACCCTGTCCCTGTGGCCTCCGGGATGGCTTTTCTCGAAAAAATGGCTGCATTTTGGGTATTATCAGAGCAATCCGTTTCCCTCATGTTGGTAGCATGACTTTCCTTCAAAATCTTCTGTAATCCTGTCACATTCTGTGCCTCTGGCTGGTAGGTGGTTTCCATTTCACTGCCTGGTRCACAGAGCTGCTGTCACAGCTAGAGGGGTGTGAGAGCTGCCATCCTGCTCTTCTCCTCCCCAGGCAGAAGGAGCCAAACAGCTCTGACCACTTACCCCTTGGTGGGTGCTGGTCAGATCTTGACCAGCAGTACYTCTAGTCTCTGCTCCTGGCAGCTGGGGTGGTTGAGCTTATCACCCACAGGTGACCAGCCCAAGTCCCTGGGAATCCATTTCCTTCAGAGCCTTGTCCATCCTCTGGAGTGAATGACTTCTCAGCATACCTCCATCTCTCTTACTTTAAAAAAAAAGATGGAGTAGTCTAGTCTTCAGCTTTAAACTTCTTGTGTCTTGGCTATTGACAGCAACCTCTCAGTCCAYGAGGCCAGGTTTTGAGCTCAGTTTTGAAGCCCATGGAGGGGTGTGTGAATTCAGTTCTGGGCTCTCCTCCTGTGGGTGTTGCTCTTGTTTTATGCCCTTTCTCTTTGGCYTGGCTGAAGCACTGAAGTCAAATGTTTTGTCATCACCATGTCATACAGATGGTAACGATGGATCTAACCTGATTCAAATGTCCAAGAACGGCCTCTCAGTGTCAATGGCTTCCTTGTTCTCAGGTACCCTGCAGTGCTCCCCTGGGCACGTGTGTGTGTGTGCAAGGTGTGTGTGTGTGTGTGCACGAGCACACTTCTCTGAAATYTGCCTGGTTTCTCAACTGGCAATTAGTTCCAGTGTCATCCAGACATCAGCAAGAAAAGCTGTGGCAGGATGGAGCAGAGAGGAGGCAGAGGAGTTCTGCTGTGGGCTCCATCCCCCAGGGCATTTTGCTGTGCCATGGTTTGGATGTATCAAAAGTGCTTGCTGTGGTGAAGACCTTTCTTGCCTGGGGTAGGGCTTCACAGGGCAGTGGCAAAGCTTTGTGCKCTGTAGGTGCTGAAGGCTGAGCCTGGGCTGTATGACAGCAGAGTCCTCTTTGATATGGGACCAGGTCATTATCCCAAGTGCCCTGGGGAGCGTTATCCTGCTTGACTTGGCAGAGCTGGCGTGCCATAGCTTTGATCTGAACCACAGCCAGTCCTTCCTGTTCTGCTCAGATTTGACTTGGAGGGGAATCCGTCTAGAAAGAAGTTTTGGAGGGAGAAGTAGTGAGATCAGACAGGGCACAGGCAGTTTGTTCATGCTGGAGGCCCTAAGCACTGGGATCACATGCAGCTCMCTGTTTTTATTGTTTACAGTAGTACTAGGTAAACCTTCTGGTCTGCTGGCCGTGTTTAAATAACCTTCATATGCTCCCAGGTTGCTTTAGCRAGGGAACAGCCTGCTGGGCTGTTGTTGATCTCTCCAGTCAGGTGTTTGGCACCAGCGTGTTGCTCCTGATGGATTTGCTGGTGCTCAGGGCTTTCTTGTCAGCCCTGCTGTGTTCACAGACCAGGGCTTTAATCCTGGCCTGAAGCTGGCATATGGGGTATGGGGTGATGTCCTTAGATTTGGGGACTGTTCACAAGTCCCTTCCTGGGACTATCCCACCTGGTGATAGCATTGGCAGCTGAGATGTTTTGGGCAGCTAATGAGGATTTGGGGAGTGTTTACAGTTAATGTTAGGAAGTGAGCAGGATCAGGATCTCAGTGCTAGCTCCTGTGGAAGCCTAGGGTCAGATCTGGCTTCCTCTGCCATCCCCGAGACCATGTCAGTGCCTGAGTGTGCTGGCTCTGCCTCCCCACAGCACCTGGCCCAGACTGTGCTTGTGTTCCTCATAGTCTAGGACCATGTGGGACCTTCCTGTGTAGAGTGGAAGGCACCAGAGCATGGCAGGTGTGTCTGGCTGGTGCTCTACAAGGTTGTGAGGCTGTTTGTCTGAATTCCCTGTTTTCTGCAGCTAGAATTCAGTTTGCATGATGTAGATTGCTTAACATTAGGATGCTTTCCTSTGCCTGTTTTAGCAATGGGTGTCAAACCAGAGGGTCAAACATCCAAGCTGAATTCCAGAAGTGTGAGTCTGTAAATTTGCAGGACTTGATCCCCTTGCTGCCAGAACAGTCCTGCTGTCTGTAGGAAAGCTTGGGGCAGGGGGATGGTTTGCTCAGCCTATGATTCCTTTGAATCATGGGCTGTGATTCCCTTGGCCTCAGTGTGCCGTTGCTGCCGGGCTGGAAWCATGTGGGCTCTCTGCAGATTTGTGTTAGTCAATCTGCTTGGGGTACAGGACCAGGGACCCTGAGCTGAGCCTCCCCCTGCCAGGCACCACGGCAGGGGATGCTACAGACTCGTATTTGGGGGTGATATGGTCACTGCAGACCATTTCTGTAACTCCCCAGAGGTATAAAACAGGAGACTTGCTGGGATAAAGGTTGTGTCTTTGGCCACTCTTCTGTCATGACTGTAATACTTTCCCCTTACATGCCCACTTCCCTTTTCTGGGAGCCATATCTGCTGTGAAGCAGGGTTTCTGCCTGCTTCTGTCTGCGTTGTATGACTAGAAGTGTCCTTCCCCCTRACACAGGGGTCTGCATTGAGGTGCATCCCCTGTTAGGGTTGAACCTGCTGGAGTGAAAGAAAGATGAGTGGAAAGAAAGATGAGTGGTGAAGGTACCACTGGGTACTGCTTGGTACCCAAGCTGCCAGGGCAGCCCAGGGCTCTTTGGGAGCTGATGGAGGGGTGGAGGAGCAGGACTCCTCCACCCCTTGTTTTGGACACCTTCCTCCTCAGGAGATGAATCTGTGGCCTCTGCAGAGGGCTGGCCCCGTGGCTGCTGGCCCTTTCTCTGCAGGGATGCTGATGTGTCTGGGCAGTGCTGGGCACAGGCTGCCAGCCCTGGCTGTGCAGTCACTGACAAGCTGTGGCACGGCCAATGTCTGACCTTACAGGGTGCAGTCAGGTAGAGAGAAGGCCTCTGCATCCCATTGCTAATCCCTTCCAACATCTGTACTGTGTGTAGAGAGCYACTAAACCTTCTTGCTAACCCTGCAGTCTTGCCCTTCAGGCTCCTGTGTGTGTTCTGTTTCAGGCCGTGTCACTGCTGGATCTTGGTGTGTGACCTGTACCAGCAGCCACTTGTCTTGCCCCAAGCCTCAGTCTGGCTGTTTTCACAGCATCCCACCATGCCTTTCCCTTGTAATTCCAACAGATGACTGATTAGACTGCACCCCTCCTTGCTGCTCAGTGCCACTTGTAGAAGTTGATGCTGTAGTTCACATGCTTTTGAACAGCTTGATGAGTTTTACCTTGAAGCTTTGGTTCGAARTGAGTGTATCCCCCTGCCCTGTCCCATCTGTTTCACCTTGTCTGTTTGTGATTCAGATGCAGACATCAAGAGGAACCCAGACTCCAGCAGGAAGTCCTTTCTCTCCTCAGACTCCATGTACGTCTTCAACCTCATGGTGACACATCTTGGTACCACGTTCTCTTTCCTACCCAATTCTGCTCTTCCATGTGCATCACTTGCTGTTTTGCAGTGGAGTAGATATTRCTTCCTCCCTCTCTCTGTCCCTCCCTCCCTCAGATGTGGGGACCCCTCTGCATGTGTGGTGAAATACAAAGTTGTGTCCATAGTTGGCAACTGCTTGGGTAGGTTCATACTGGGAGAGAAGTTGCTTCTGGCTTATACAGGCACTGAGCGTCACTTTGCAGCTTCCCCTGTCAACAAGCACAGGTTTTGTTAAGTGAGTTAAGTTTTGCCCACCTTTCTGAGCAGTGGTTGTGGTGCCATTAGTGAGCTTTGCTTGGGGACAGCTGCAGAGACAGCAATCAGTCATGTATATTAATTTTAAGCCTGTATAGCAGTGCAGAATTAAGGTACCAGAGTTGAAGGGAGCATCTTTGGCTTGAGCTGGGACTGGCATGGGGCTGCAAGGAGAGCACAGCTGTGAGATCCAGTACTAACAATTCCTTTGCTGTCTAGATCCCACTCMTTCCTCAATTCAAACTCGGCAGAGGCTGTGGCCATGGGTTTGCTGAAGCAATTTGAGGGCATGCAGCTCCCAGCTGCCTCTGAATTGGAGTGGCTYGTCCCCGAGCACGATGCCCCACAGAAGGTAAGACTGTGAGTTCCTGTCACTGAGTGCATTTGATCTTCCCTGAACCCCTGGCTTCTATTCACTGCTGAGGGGCCTTGCTTGTCCCAGTGACCCTTTTGTGGATGGAGGAGGGGKTTTGTTTGGGCTTTGGAGATGGTGCAGCCAAGCAGGGCTCTGCCACTACAGCCTCCCACAGCATTCAAAATCCCTGGGGATAGCCCTTCTTCCTCCCCCATTGAGGTGGAGGAGCAGCTTGATGCCTGGCAGTTTTCCAGAGGGCTGCAGTTGCAGCTTTCTGGCAGTCCAGCCAGSTGCACTGCCTTTGAAGCACCAGATAAGGATCTGACCCTCTTGCCTGCTTCTCCCAGCTCCTGCCCATCCCTGACTCTCTGCCTATCTCTCCYGATGATGGAGAGCATGCTGACATCTACAAGCTGAGGATTCGGGTGCGTGGAAACCTGGAGTGGGCCCCGCCACGACCGCAGATCATCTTCAATGTTCACCCAGCCCCAACGTAAGGACCCRTGTGGCTGGGGGCTCTCAGGAGACCTGCCCTTTCCAACCCTTTTCCATCAACACCAAGGTTACTTACCCTCTGATTGCTGGGGTTTCCCTGCTCTGAGCCTGGTAAATCCATGGTGGTTACTACTGTGAGATGGAGCCAGTGCTTAGCATTGGTGCTTTTGATGTGGCCCAGGACTCAACTGGGCTTTTTCCCTTGGGTGTCTTGTCCACATAAACCTCCCAGGCATGTGCTGATAGCCATCTTCTGGTGCCAGGTACCATGTGGGCTGGGTTATACATGTTGTCTTCTGTCTCTGGGCAGGAGGAAGGCWGCTGTGACCAAGCAGAATTACCGGTGTGCAGGCTGTGGCATCCGGACTGATCCTGGTGAGTGCTGGGAACCTGAACTGTAGCTGGAGAGTGGGGAAGAACCTGCAAACAGTGGGAAGATGCTGAATGGGTGGGTGGTGATRGAGCTCAGCATGAGGTCACTGGGGCAGTGCTACACTGCCAGCTCTGCCTGCACATTGGTGTGCACCATCCACAGAGGAGCCTCCCCTAACAAAAGGTCACAGAGCTGGTGGAGGCAAAGAGCAGCCAGCTGTCCCTTGGAGGACATTTCAGATGTTGACTCTTTTAAGGCAAAGTCCTCTGTTGGCTCCTCAAGCTGCCAGCAGGCTCTGCAGCTGCAGAGCTCTTCCCTGAATATGTAGGTAGATGTAGTTACATGAGACTGGCCTATTGGTCCCAAAAGCTTTTGCAGTCAGAGGGGGCTTGCAGACCCCAATGTTGAGCACTTTGGGCTGGAGGAGACACCAGCAGGGCAGAGTTCCTTGCTTGTTGGAAATGCTGAGCAGTGTTGGGAGTGCAGCATGTGGCTGTGCAGAGCCTGTGCCTGGGCTGACCTGCCTGTCTGCCTGGGTTTGGCCAGCTTACATCAAGAGGCTGCGCTACTGCGAGTACCTGGGCAAGTATTTCTGCCAGTGCTGCCACGAGAACGCCCAGACCATCATCCCCAGCCGCATCCTGCGCAAGTGGGACTTCAGCAAGTAYTATGTGAGCAACTTCTCCAAAGACCTGCTGAGCAAGATCTGGAGTGATCCGCTCTTCAACGTGCAGGCTATCAATCCTGCCCTGTACCAGAAAGTGAAGGCTCTCAACCAAGTGCGGGTAAGACCCTTCCYATGCCTTTCTGAGTGGGGTTTGAGTGAGGTGGGTGGCTGCCAACTGTAAACCATAATTCAGGGAAGCTGGGGAGAAGCAGATATTTCAGTTTTTGAGGCTTAAAACCTCATTACTATGTCTTTCCATTCACCTCTTCTTATTTCTTCAGTGGCATAGGAATGTCAGAAGGAATTTCTGACTGTTACCCAGCAGGGCTTTAGTTTATCTCCTGGAGCACATGATGATGGTTGTGCTTGCCTTGCCYTGTGTGATGTAAACACTTGGGAAATAGGAGGGTGGCAGCTGCGGTGCAGTAGTTATTTCAGCAGCACAGGGAATGGGGTAGACCTGCTTGGCCAAGRACCATGCTCTGTTCACTGATTTGTCCCCCTTTCCTCTCCAGCTGCTGCGAATCCAGCTTTTCCACATGAAGAACATGTTTAAGACGTGCCGGCTGGCTAAAGAGTGAGTCCTGGGCTGTTCTGCTGTCCTGGTTCTGTCCCCAGGCAGTTTGCACTGGGGATCTGTGCATTGAGCAGTGGGAAGAGAGGGGAGAGGAGGGGGAGAGAAACTGTAAGGAGAGGAAAAAGGGGTCTTAGTGGAGTCACTTTGCTCTGATCTCTGGTTTCTCTGTCCTTGCAGCCTCCTGGACTCCTTTGACATGGTGCCTGGCCACTTGACAGAGGATTTGCACCTCTACTCGCTGAGTGACTTCAGTGCCATCAAGAAGGGGGACCTGGTACCTCGTCTGACAGAGCTCCTGAAGGCAGGCAGCCTGCATATTGACAAGTGCATGGTAAGGCCTCCTCTCCTGCCTCCTGCATGGCTCTGCACCCTTGGGAGCAGGCTTTGCTGCAAAGATAACTGATGGGAGTGGGGTTTGGTGTGCAGGACAGCCACCAAAATAACTGATTCAATGCTAACTGTTCCTGCCTGCTCCATAGAGCTCCTACCCAGCACAGATGGGATATTTGCTACCCCATTTTGGCTCTCCTCCACTCCTGACATGGGTTGATTCAGCCTTCCTATGCGCCATGCTGGGGAAGGGCTGTCCAACATGGTTAGAGCAGAGCACTGTGTCCTGCTGTCCTGCTCTGCTCTGCCTTCTGCCCTACTTTCCTGGGAGATGAGTGTTTAGCTGCTTTTTCCTCATCTTTTCACCTTCCAGCTGTGCCAAGCCAAAGGCTTCATCTGTGAGTTCTGCCAAAATGAGGACGACATCATCTTCCCCTTTGAGCTCAACAAGTGCAGGACATGTGAAGGTGAGATACTGGGGAAAAATGGACAGGGCAGACYCTGTGGCCACCAAGGTCTGTTTCCAGTTTGAGTAGCATTTGTGCTAGGAAGAGGTACAGAGCCACAGCCAGCCAGCCCAGAGTGCCTCTGTGCATGACCTGTGTCTGCAAAAGGTTATCACACAGCAGATCAGCATTATAGCAGTGTTTGCTGATGTGGTGGAGTGTGTAGGACCCCTCCTGACCACGCTGTGTTCTGCCTCCCCCAGCAGCAGTGAGCAGTCAGGCTGTGATTGCAGTGAGCCCTGGCTTCCCTCCTGCTGTGGACAGGCTGCAGCCTCCGAAGCACCCCTGCCCCTGCAGGACAGAGAGAGCCTGGAGGCTTTATCTCTGTGCTTCTCCTGCCTGCTAAGAAGTCATAGACCCCTTCAGGAAACATCCTCTATAATGCCCAGTTATTCATGGCCAAGTGGAGCTTGGTTTAGCAGGTGTAGTGCCAGAGAAAACTTGGGACAAAGTCACTGTTTCCCTGGAGTATCAGGAAAGTTTGGGGAGGGACTTTGGGTGGAGCAGAAAATCTCCCTCCTGTGCTTCCAAAGCTTTGCAGGCTGGTGCAGGGATGTGGGGTGTGGAGTGTCGGGCAGTCTGTCAGCCATGCTCTCCCTCACAGAGTGCAAAGCCTGCTACCACAAATCCTGCTTCAAATCCACCCACTGTCCCCGGTGCGAGCGTCTTCAAGCCCGGAGAGAGCTGATGGCCAAGCAGAGCATGGAGTCCTACATCTCGGACTATGAAGATGAGCTGGAGCAGCCGGAGGCAGTAGCAGCCACATGAGCATGTTGCAGCCAAGGAGCAGATCATGGGTTTGTTTATACGTGGCCTTCATCACCAGAGACTGAGCCACACGGACTGGAGATGAGGAGGACTGTTGGGAGGCCTGGAGCACTGTCTTGAAGGGATCTCTTTTCCCTCATGCAGTAGTGCTGGGCTGGGAAAGGAGCATATTCCATCATGTGGATCTGTTCCAGGTACCACTCCCACTCCCTGATGCCTTTGCTTGGGGGCCAGCAGCTGCTCTGCTTGTCCTGCAGGCAGAACAGGGACCTTTTCCAAGCAGCTGTTTGTGCTGGACCAGGCAGRGCTGTACTGTCCAGCCCTATGCCCTGCTCTGAACTGAGCAGAGTCCCCTGAAGGGTCAGCACTTTCTGCTCATCAGCTGTATACTAGGAAGCTCTGGTCACATCTGCTCCTTGGAGGAGGGAGTCAGGTTTCCTCTGATCCTCCATTCTGCTGCTGGGGGTTGTGTGCATGGAGGGAGGGTGGGGGGTTTGGGGTTGTTTGTATATTTAACAGCTCCCTTTCTYGAATGTGCTGTGGGACTCTGCTGGAGAGCAGTTGCTCTCACTCCAGGATCAGAGCAGAGGAGGTGGCAACAATGAAAATACCAGATTTCCCAGTGCTGCAGAGGGACATTGCTCCTGGAGCAGCTGCACAAATGGACATGCTGATAGACTTTTGGCAGGCAGATCCCCATGGCTCCATGGAAATGTGCCTCCATGAGATACGGTGAGACATCTGATCCTACTCCCTCCTCATGCTGCCAGTCTGTCCTACCAGGGAGAYATGTCCTCTAAGGATGACATGGAACCTCACTCTGGTGGCACCAGAACCAGCCTTTTGTGCAGCTGCCTTCTGCCTGAGACCTGTGGGGTTGCAGGTGAAGGTTGAGCCCTCCAGCTGCATTCCCCAAGCCTCTGTCTCGGTTTGTTTTAGGTTTTTGTTGTTTGTTTGGGGTTTTTTTTGTTGTTTTTTTTTCTTTTTTCTTTTTTAAATCTGCTGGATTTAGTTTTTTTTAATGTGATTGTTTGTATTTTTAATTGTGTGTTTCCCCTCAAGGAGGTGCTGCTTGAAATGCCTCATTTGGGGGCATGTGATCTGCTTGGGACTCACCAGTGTAAAATCTCCAGGGCTGTCCTGCTTGTGGTTCCTCACCCYGGGATGGAGCTGATCCCCTCTCCCAGCAGATCTCCTGCTCCCCGTGGGAGAAGAGGGGTCCCTGAGCCAGGCAAAGCCTTGAAGCTTCCCAGSTGTGATTTGGGATGGTCAGGCAGCCTGCTTGCAATGGGGATACCCAGGGGAAGAGGGGTTTGGCACTGGGGTGCTGCCAAAGGTGCTGCCTCGCTGATGCAGAGCCACCTGCCATGAGTGACAGCTCTGCAGGGTCAGGGTCACACCCAGTGGGACAAGGTGAGCTCTGTGCCCAGTCAAGGAGGTGCCTCTGCATTGTGGGGTGATGCTTTAGCCGTGGCATGTCCAGTACCACCTCAGTGTGYGTGGGATGTGGGGTGTCACAAAGGATGGTGTGGCCTGTGCATGTGCAAGGAAGGTGTTGAGGGACCAGTGCACTGGCAGCAAGCATCGAGGGGCAGTGGCTCTTTCAGCACATGCCCTGATTTCAGGCTGGGATGTGACCCCTCGTGGACTTTCCCTGTGACGATGGCAGGGCTGGGGAGAGGGGAAGAGGCTGGGACCAGGAGAGGTGGCTGCAGGCTTGGTCAGGGAGGGTTGGCTGCAAACCTTGCTCCTGGGAGCCATGCTGCTGCACAGCAGTGTCTCTCTCCTGGCTGCAGCATCCTAAGTCCTGGAAGCAGGACTTTCGTCAGTTCAGCTCACTTGCTCACTTGGGGTTTTTACTGCCTTGTGGCTTGCTTCTGCTTGTTTTCCCTAGCAGAGCAGCTGTTCTGCTCACTCTTGTCTCTGCAAGCTTTGGGGCTGCCAGATGCTGGTCTGCCTTGGTCTTGCCTGTCCCTAGGCCCAAGCCTTCCTGCTGCCGCTTGGGCCTGGGACCCCCTTTCCTGGAGTTGCCTCAGCAGCACATCTCCATCCACCCTATTTTGTTTGAAGCACTTTAATGTCATGGGACAGCAGCTGAGAGGCTGCCTGGATCCCTTTCTGGAAGCACTGAGTACTTTTAGAGAAGAAGGAAGGAATTCTGGCTTATTTATGGTTTCCACCCTCCACCATGGACWGTGTGTAGAAGCAGCAGAACTTGCAAACCTTGCAGAGCTCTCCAGGGCATAACTGTGCCCAGCACTGACACTGCTGCCCAGCACTGACCGCTACAACTAACACTGGAACTGGCCAAGGCAGGGAGCTCTGTGGGAGGGAGAGCCAGGGGCTGCCCTGGCCATCAACTGGAGCCGTCACAATGGGATTGTTATTGCACAGCATAGCAATTAAAATGCCGTCCTTAATAAACTAAGTTAATAAGGAGTCTGGTTGTGTTGTGACAATGGTGTATATCTCACCTTGACTCCATGGGGCAGGCAGGGAGTGCTGCTCATGGCACAGAGCAATGGAAAGGACAGCTTGTGCAGCTGGTGATGTCACTGGTGATGTCACACCTGTCACTATCCCTTGATTAATTCATCTGGTTTATGGCCTCCSCCTGCAAACTGAACCTCCTGGTCCTGGATTCACAGGAGGGGGTACAAGACACTGAGTGAGGAGCTCTCTGTAATGCCTGTCCCSTTCCWGGGTCTGCCTTTGCRGTGGCAGAGGGGTCCMAGGGGCTGCCTTGGCTGCCCTGTCYGTGTTTGCATCCCCATTCCACGCAGCCCTGCTCTCCCCTCACAGCAGTGGTGCATCTCCCCATAAACACCATAGACAGAGATAATAGAAACTGTAAACTTTAAAACAACGGTTAAAAGAAGTGTCTCGCAGAGCAGCACTGGCTCCATGAAAAGCCTTTTCCCTAGAAACACCTTGCTCAGCCCAAATCTCAGCTGTGGATACCAGCACCAATTGGCGACCTGAGCTACTCCTGAGGACAGTGGTTGYAGAAAAGGTTTCTGGCAGGCACAGGCATGCTGAGGATGAACTGTCACAGCAGCTGTCCCAGCATTGATGGCAGAGACCGGCAACACCCTATGAGCTTGCTGCTGCTCCAGGGAGCAGTCCACCATCCTGGGGTGATCCCTGCAAGCTGGCAGCTTGGCAAAGGCACATCTGCCCCAGCACAGAGGGTCACTGGGAGTGCGTGGGGGCATAGCGACGCTCAAACTGGTCCACGTCGAACTTGCGCTTGCAGCCGGCGTAGTTCATGTAGCGAATCTTGCCAAAGATGGCCCKCTCCGCCCAGCCCTGGTCGTGAATGCCACAGATGGACCACAGGCAGCCTGCCGGGCACAGGGACAAAGTGTCAGCTGTCCCCTTGCTCAGAGGCACATGGAGAGGAAGTGGGATATGGGTGCAAAGCAGGATGGGCTGGAGATGCATCCAGAGAGCGCCCACTGCAGCCTTGGCCATCACAGCTAAGGCCTCCCACCCGTGCCCCCATCCTGCAGCTTGCCTACGTATCCATTGGGGTCCCTCCCGTCCAGCTCGTARCGGTCATTGAGGTAGATGGCAAACTGCAAGGCCTCCTCGGGGGAGCGTGTCCACTCCAGGATCTTCTTGGCCCAGTACATCCGCAGGAAGCCGTGCATCTTKCCCTCCCGCACCATTTGGAGCTGTGGGGATAGGAATAGGCATAAGGGTCAGTCCATGGCAGGTCACCTCTGCCCCTCAAATAAAAGCTCAGCATTTTGTGGGGAAGATGTAGGGCAGTACCTGGGCAGCGTTCCACAGTGGGTCGTGCGTGGTGCCCTGCTCCAGCTCCTGCAGACTGTAGAGATAAGGCCTCTTGTCTTTGGCGTGGAGCTTCAGGGTGGTTTGTGCCCAGTCATAGGCACCTGTGAGCAAGARATGAGGAGCAACACTGAGCAACCTGTTGTGCAGGATCCTGAGAACTGGGCAGCTTGAGAGCACTGCCCTGGAGGGCACTGGCCAGCTCCTGTTCTGCCTCCAGAAGGGACCAAATGATGGGACATTAGTGCCCCCACAGCCCTTCTCCTAGCAGAAGTGGGATTGCCARGTTGGAGTGAGCAGCTGGGTAGCCAGCACTGCCCAATGACTCAGGATGTTACCCTGCACGCTGTCGTAGTTCTCATTGTAGTAGCAGAAGTTTTCAGCCAGCTCCCGCCGCACCACAGCCTCCTCCACAAACGCATCCACCGACTCCTTGTACTTGCGCCGGTGCTTCTGCACCTCCAGGATGGCTCGTTGGGTGGAAACCTGGCCTGGGGACATGGGGAAAGAGCAAGTCAGGCTGCCAGTCCAAGGCACRATGCTCAGTCCTGCTGCAGAGTGGGAAGCCTGGGACACTCACCAAAGTGAAGCCATGGGGACAGGTTGCTGAGAGCCTCCTTGTTGGGATCATTCCTGTGGGTGCTGAAGGACTGCAGCCGCTCTGCAATGAAGGACYTCAGCACAGCCAGCCCTGCAGTTGTGCCAGGGGTTGCCCACTCCACCTCCTTCACTGTGTGGTCCACCTGCAAGCTGGAATAACAGGCCTCCCAAGCGATGGGCTGGGGGGWGACCATGCAGTGAGTGCATTTGCAGAATCCTTTCAGTGAGGGCTGCCCTGAGTGTTATGTCCCCAGCCAGGAAGTCCTCTGCCCATGCCAGCCTCATCTTAACCAGCCCTCTGCATGGCAGAGATGTAGAAACTGAATGAATGAGGTGAGAACCTCCCCTTAACCAAGGCATTCTCATCTCCACACCATCTATGTGTGACCACAGGCAGGTCACTGTCCTCATCTTTGCCAACCCCTCCCAGGATCACTAAATATCTGTAAAACACTCTGGAACCAGCCCGTGAATGGCTTTGGAGGTGTCTCCTGCTGGTACCTGAGATGGGCAGGAGGGGGGATATGGGTGACGAACAACAGGGGGGAACTCGGTGAGGAACTCAGGGAGCTGAGCGTGGATCTTGCCCCGGATGGTCCTGGCGCTGTACTCCTGCTTGGGGGAGGCAACCCAGCAGGGCACGATGTTGTGGGCATCAACCTGGGAAGCAAAGCCGTGGAGAAGGGTGTGAGAAGCTGACAGTCCTGATGACATGATACATACGCTCTCTGCTCATGTCACTTCAGTGCACAAAACACAGGAGATTAATTTCTCCCACATCTCACCAGCCAGTGTTCCATTCCCAGAGTGCAGGCACCCACCTGTGCAAATGGCACATCCTCTGGCAACYGTTCCCTGACGTCCTCCACCCACTGCCGGGGGAGGCGGAGGGGACTGAAGTCTGTCACCAGCCCRCCCACGCCATGCTCCACCACGAACGTGGGCAACACATCCTTGGCATAGCCCAGAAGCAAGTGGAAGGAGATGTTCAGCTCTGCACACTCCTGCAGGGACAGAGAAATGGCTGTGGGACAGTTYGTGGCTCTGCAAACCCCACCCTACACCATCTGCTGAAGGGATGGATCTCCCTCCCCCCTTCCCCAAGAGCACCGTCCCACCCAGCATGGCTGTCCCCTGGCTGTACCTCTGCCACCTCCTGCAGGCCCCTCAGCATGAACCTGTAGTGGCGGATGGTGGCCTCCAGGAATTTGGGCACCAGGCAGAAGCAGACATGCAGAGGCAGCTCCTGTTTGAGGGCCAGGCGTTGGGCRTAGAGGAAAGCCCAGTTATCTGGGGGGAAAGCACACAGGGCAGCGTCAGGAGGATGGGGTTTCAAAACAAACTTCACCCCGGCTCCTTGGAGAGTGGGGTCTGCAGAGAGCTTGGGCCAACTCCAGGGTTACCGGAGGGGACCAGCCCTTTTGCACCCACGGGAAACCTTTCCACCCRCTAGTTCACACCTTGCACCCGCTGATCCCGGCACATCCAGTAAACGATGCACCGAGCATCATCCTTCAGGTCCGAGCCCTGCGAGACAAGGCGAACCCGCTTTTTGTTGTACTTGAACTCTCGAACGGACGGGGCCGCCCTCCTYCGGGCCTCCTGTATCGCCTCCTCTTCCTCCGTCCTCCTCCGGGACACGCGYGGCACCTCCGTGACCTCGGCCTTTCGCTTCCCTTGTGCCCGCCGCATCCTCAGGACCGCCCGGAGCAGCGTGGCTGCGTACGGCCGCTGCGAGAAGAAAGGAGGCGGTGCTGAGCTCCCGCGCTTCCCTGCGAATCCCGGGCCCCGGTCCGCCCCCTGAGCCCGGGGGATGCTGGTTCAGAGCCCGGGGGATGCTGGTTCAGAACCCGGGGGATGCTGGTTCAGAGCCCGGGGGATGCTGGTCCCCTGCCCATCCTGCTCCTCGGGAACCGGGGAATAACGGTGCCTGCTCCTTCCGGTCCGCGGCCCGGGCCGCTCCTGCTCCCGATACCCGGGGTCAGGGTCCTGATCCCGATCCCGATCCCGATCCCGATCCCAGTCCCAGTCTCGATCCCGGTCCCGATCCCGATCCCGGTCCCGGTCCCGGTCCCGGTCCCGGTCTCTACCTGGCAGCACGCGGCCCTGCACTGTTACACAAGCTGTGGGCGTGTTAGAGGGCGCGGCCGCGGGCGTGGTTGTGCCCCGAGGGGCGCGGCTCCGCTCTCGGCACCGCCCCCCGCACACGGCCGCWGGTGCTGCGCCGATGTTCCCGGCGCGCCCGAGGCGATGCACCTGCCCCGAGGGGGGGTTAGTGCCCGCTGGTGCCTCCCCTCCCTGCCCCCGGGAACAAGGAAGCAGCTCCAGCCACTTTCAGCCATCACTCGGCTGTGTAGTTCCCCGCTGGCACCTTCACCACGCTCTGTGTCCTCAGGTTCCACACCTTGCAGGGCCTTGGGTGCTGGTTTTGGACATGACTGGGGCCATGGGAGGGCTGTCCCTGCTGCTGCTGAGCCTTGCTGTGCTGGATCTCAGGCTGGGTAAGGGCTGAGTGGTRTGTGGAGCTATCCATGGGGTGGGGGGTAAGTGGGGAGCATCGTTCTCCAGGGTGGTGGGTGGCCCTGGGTGGCTTCATCCACAGAGGTGAAAAAATTCACTTTGGGTGCTGTTTGCTCTCCAACATCTCAGCCCTGTCCCAGTGAGCAAACAGGGCAGTGCTTTATAGAACACAAGCAACAAGCTTTATTTCTTTTGCCTCTCATGTGAGTCTCTATCTGGGGAGAGAAGATTYCATACCCAGCTGGACCCTCTTTGTGAGCACTGGTCTCTGCTGGATTAATTGTCTTTGCTACAATCTGCCCAGCAGCACGAAATGGCCCTGCCCAGATGGCAACYTCACTGGGATGTACTAGGCCTGGAAAATTTCAAATGCCATCCCAACATTGGTACTTGATGCAAAGTAAGACCAGTGTTGAGTTGAGCACAGAGAATAAACCTGTGGCTTGTACCTCCTGAAAGCCTTGAGCTACAGCTGTAGGCCCCTCCCAATGCATCGCTCAATCCCCTTGCAGAGCTTTTATGGGTCGCAACAGGACTTGCCCTGAGCTGTGAGCTCARGCATTTGTTCCTTTGTGGGGCTGCTTCCCCCGTTGCCATTATTTACACCCACTGCTATCAGTTCCTGGCTATCTGCGGCACYGAGGGTTTGTGTAAACTGCTGCTGCTGCATTTCCAGACAGTCTCACGGTCACCAGTTCCTGCTTGGCTCTTCCTGTCAGACAGGTTTGTTTAACTTCCTCCAGGGATGGGTGAAGATGGTGGAATGGGTCTTAGGAATGGTGCCTAGGGGAGTTTCTGCCCTGGAACGAGCGATGGCCGTGGCTTGTTCCTGCTTTGTCAGGCTGGGGATTTACACAGCGTGCCTTGCTGATTGTCATGTTGCTATTCAGGGAATCCACGTGCATGATCCATGCAGGGCAGGGAATCCCCATGCCTGATAATCCATGGCTGATGCAAGGTTTGGGCAGCTCATGGCAGAGGTAACATTGCACTGTCCCCAGCACAGCTGTGGTCCCAGCCTTTCTCTGCCAGCCCTCGTGTGCTGTCTCCCACCTCTTTGCAGGGACCACTGTCAACGACATGACAATCCYTGACTCTCCCTACCTCCTTGACACCCACAGAGACCATGGCACTGCTGGCCAGAACCAACTCAAGCACTGCAGCCACCTTTCCTCCCTCCCGKCTTGTAACCTTCACCCCAGAGATGCCAATGGATGCCTTCATATCCAGCCCTTCTGCAGCTCAGCGGAGCAGCCCAGCAGCCTCCAACATCACCACACCACAGGCAAGGAGCAGCACAGCCCACAGCACTCCTGTGTCACCTGGGCTGGGACCTGCCACCACCAGCAGCACCCCAGCAGGGCTGGGAGCCACCACCAGCACACCAACTCCAACCTCCGTGGCCACGACACCCAACTGTGACAAGACAACCAATTTCACACCTGTGGGGACCAGCACAGCGCTGACTGTCAGCTCATTTGGAGCTGAAATGAGCACTCTGCCTCCTCCCACCTCTGCTCTTCTGTCCTCCACCTGGATGGACACCACRCATGGCACCAGCACCCACCAAGGGCCAACCACGACCACACTGCTTGGCAGCACAACCCCAGGGGCCAGCAGCACCTCCTCTTTTACCACCCCAGTGGTGACAGACACTTCAGATGAGCCCTTACTGGACACCACGGCCTCCCTTCCCACCACAGGGGTGGCTGKGAGCACCCCTGGCCCCAGCCAGCCAGTTGGAACCATGGCCTGGACCACCCCTGATACGTCCACCTTAACAGAATCAGAGACCCCCAGTCACACTGCAGGTGAGTGCAGCCACAGAGCACCTGGAGGGCAGGATTGGGGTGGTAAATCCTCATGGCATCTCCCATCCTGCTCAGCCAGGCACTTGGCTTGTTGCCCCAGGGGCCACCTGGTCTCCAGGCTCTGCAGGCCAGYGGGTTGGTTGCAGGCTGGGGTATGACTGTGGTGTGACAGTACTGCAGCATTGCTGTGCCTTGGTGTGACTGCACTGTGGCTGTGGTACTGAGCCTGTACGTTCACAACCCCTGGCAGTGACACTGTGTGTACCCTGTACCCCAAGGAGTGTGGCTGTACCCCAGCACTCCCCCCATGCAACTGTCCCACTGGGCACCTGTGTCCTGTCARTGTGGCTGTGTCCTGGCTGTTGCAGGAGCCTTTAGCCTGGGACTGCAGCTGTCCCCTGGTGCCACCCCTCTCCACACACCTCCACCAGGACAGGGAGACCGTACCCTGCCCCAGTACCCCTGGCCATGCACATGTCCCCAGTGTCCTGCWTGCCAGGACTGTATCCTTAGAGTTCCTGGTGCCTTGGGTGTGAGAGCGCCTCATCCRAGTGCCATTACTGTGGTGATGGCTTCAGTGTGCCTGTGCCCTGGCAGTGTCCCCAGGTACCTGTTCAGCAGCAGGGTGGCCRTGCCCTGACAGTCCTCCAGCACGCCTGCCTGCCTGTGGAATGCCAGTACCTGGCCCGGTGCCCGCAGGCGCCTCTGCGTGTTCTTGTCCCTGACCCTGAGAAGAAGGAAGCAGCTCCAGCTGTCAGCAGTGCACTTCTGTGATACGCTGTGACACGGGGAAGTGATGCCTGTACAGACAGCCCAGGGGACAAACCCTCAGCCTGGAGCACGCCCTTCCTGAGYGCGCCTGTTCTCTCGGCCAGTTCCTTGCGCTCAGACGGAGCTGGGAGCCACCACCAAACATCACCCCTGTGGTGAAGCGCGGGATCCAGGCAGACTGGCTCATCCCTGGGTTTTTTTCCGTTGTCACCCTCCCCTCAGCAGGCAGAAGACGGCCACAGGAGCCAGGTSTGTGGCAGTGGTGGCCTTGCTGGTCTGCCCTGCCCACTTCTTGTGGCTGCTCTGGGTCCAGCCGAGCAGTTGATGTCTGCTGGGCACTGCAGAGTCCCTGRGAGTGTCTGTGTCAGGTGGAGCCCCCTGCCTTGCTGCCAGCACCTGGAGGGTGAAAGGACCCATCTGGATGCTCCTTCTCTGCCGGGGCTGTGGGGAGTGCTCCGAGTGGTGCCTGCGGGGCTTTGTCGGCTCCCGCTCACCYGGACATGGCTGGGCAGAGAGGGGGGCTGTCCCTGCCCCTGCCCTGGCCCCTGCTGCTGCTGCTGCTGAGCCTCACCTGCCTCGCCGTGCTGCACCTGGCTCTGGGTAAGGGCTGAGCGGGATGCGGTGCTCTCCACAGGGTGGGTGGTGAGTAGGGAGCATGGTTCCCCGGGGTGGAGGGGTAACACCTGTGGGGTGCAGGGGGATGGAATGCTGTGGGTGCTGCTTCCTGTTTCTTAAATGGGAAGCAGAGGTGGACTTGCTGCTTCTCCTTTTTGCGAGGATGAGATCCTTCTGTGCAGACACTCACCTGGCTGGTGGAATCAAACCTTTACCCTTCCTCRCATTTTTATTTAACCAGCTGCTGTGTGCGGGGAGGGCATGGCTGCCAAGGGCTTTGGAATTTTCTGGCTGGAATTTTCTGGCTGCAGATGGCAGCTTTTGGTTTCCCATCCTCCTGCGAGCAGAGCCCCAGACTCATTGAGTTTGCGCTGGGATTGCTGGGGAATCCAGCCTGGCGTCCCAAAGCTGCCACTTCACAGACACCTCCTGACAAAGGTCCAGGCTGTCCTGCCCGAGTTTTGGAGGGGGTTACAGATCCCYGGGCTTTTCTGGGGACAGCACAATGCCCTGGCACCTGGTCCATAGCGGAAGAGAGGATGGCCCTCCTGTGACAGACACCCCCCACAGAGCTATTGTGGGTCACAGCACGTCTCTAACGGCTCATCCTGAGCTGCAAGCCGGGATTTGTTCCTTTGTGGGGCTGCTTCCCCCTTTGCCATTATTTACACCCACTGCTATCAGTTCCTGGCTATCTGCGGCACCGAGGGTTTGTGTAAACTGCTGCTGCTGCATTTCCAGACAGTCTCACGGTCACCAGTTCCTGCTTGGCTYTTCCTGTCAGACGGGTTTGTTTGACTTCCTCCAGGGATGGGTGAAGATGGTGGAATGGGTCTTAGGAATGGTGCCTAGGGGAGTTTCTGCCCTGAAAGGAGTGATGTCCATGGCTTGTTCCTGCTTTGTCAGGCTGGGGATTTACACAGCATGCCTTGCTGCTGCCCATTGAAGACATCCATGTGTGTGATCTGTGCAGGACAGTGAACTCCCACTGCCAGTGCTYCATGGCTCATGTGTAGCTCTGAGTCCCTCAGGGAGCTCGCTGTGGTGCTGATGCTGCACACCGTCCCCAGCACAGCCAGGGGCTCAGCCTTTCACTGCCAACCCTTGTGCATCTCACTGTGCAATCTCTTTGCAGAGACCACTGCCATAGACGTGACAGCAACCATGTCCCCACCTCTCCCTACCTCCTCAATACCTCTGGAGAGCTCAACAGTACTGCCCGCCACTGACCCCAGCACCACAGCTGCCCCCCTTTCCTCCAGCCCTGAAACAGAAGCCTCCAGCCCAGAGGAGTCCAGCACATCCCTAGAGAATGGCAACACYTCACCTCTCACTGCAACTACAGACGATTCAACTGAGTCCTTGACCACCCTGGCAGACACCACAGCCAGCCCCGTATTCAGCACATCAGACCCCATGAGCACCCCGCCTCCAAGCAACCCAGCCAGAACCACCCCTGACATCTTCCCCTCAACTCTGGAGTCGACTCCAGGTATGCTGACAGTATCTGGGACCCCTAGTGCAGCCAAGGGTGGGTTCAGCTGTGGAGCACCTGGAAGGCAGGGACACGGTCAGGGTGACAAATCCCTGTGAGGATCCTGGGCATGTACTTGGGTGGCTTCCCTTAGGTGGCTTCACTTAGGCTCAGCCTGTCCCCAGCTGCAGGAGCATCCTGCACCTCTGCAGACAGCACTAACCTGACATTGCTTTGCCCAGGCACTGAGCCCTCCTCCCCTGACACCAGCTCAGCCCAGACCACAGAGCTTACCTCCAGCAYGCCTACGGAGCTGCCGACGCTGCCGCCAACCTGCCCCTCTGGCTCGTCCAACACCAGTAAGTGCAGTGCCCGGGGGCATCACCACCCCAGCATCAGTGCTTTTGGGCTGCCAGGGGCCAGTGCAGGGGGTCCTGGAGCCCCACTGCTCCTGCTGTGCTCTCAGTATTGATACCCTRGGGTACATGTGATTTGCTGTGCAGTGCGAGGCTTGTTCTCCTGACAGTGTAGCATATCCATGACACAATTAACCTGGGAGGAGGTCCCCTGTCTGTGCCAGTAATCCTGGGGAGAGAACCCCCAGGCTGTCTGACGCAGCCCAGGGTTCAAGGGCAATAACCAGAGCCATATTTTTAATCTCTAGGTGCGTCCCACATCTTTCTGTCGCTGCGGCTAACCACCCCCCTGGACCTGGGGAACACCACGGTGCAGGAGCTGGTGTTGTCCAAGGTGAGGTGTGCTGAGGAGATCCCATTGCATCTGTCAGCTGTGGCTCACTCGGGCAGGGAGGGGGCCGGGCAGGCAGAGGGAGGGGAATGGCTGTGTCTTGCATTGAATGTCACCCAGAGCCCTTTCAGATGGAGGGGAGACCCTCCTTTGGCTGCCTTGGTCCAGGATCAGGCCCTTTCTGTGTGGGGTCGGGGCATGTTTTGATGGCTGTTCTTTCCCCCAGCTCCGTGAGGACCTGCAGACCGCGTTCCCATGCGCTGGCCTGTCACTGGCGTGGCGAGGGAAGAGGAGGACCTGACCGCKGCCCCTCGCCTTGGCCTGTTCCTGCCTGGACTGGAGAGTCACCTGCTCCCAGCTCCTCACCCCACGGTGGTGCAGGCCTTTGGGAAATCCCATACAACTCTTCCTGAACCTGGGCCTGCCTGTCCTTCACTCTGCACCCCCAGTGCCCCCCTGCCCCTTCCCACAGCCTGTCTGGAGAGCCATCACCCTGCCCCAGACCTGGCTYCTGTGGTAGCACCCCTTCCAGTGCTGCTGGGGGGCTGGGAGGAGGGGACCCTGCAGGACTGGGCTTTTACATCTGGGACTGAGCTGGCTGAGCCATCAAAGCCATCCTGGGGACTGAGGAATRAGAAGGAGGAGACCTGAAACCCCCGGTATTGCTGTGCCCAAGGCTCACCTGTGGTGTTGCTGACAGAGAACACCCGTGCCAGCACAGGCCTGGCAGTAAATAGAAATTCTGTGTTTTCTGTGTCGGAATGATGATTTCTTTATTTTCYAAGCTGCCTTTCCCAATTTTCAGCTTTGGAGGTACCGGTGAGGAAAACTGAATCCCAAAAGCTTTGCATGGAGAGGCAGTCTCAGGGCTGTCCTGTCCTGCCCGGGGCTGCTGCAGACATTCCCAAGGATGGCTCGGCACCCCAGCRGACTGGGGGCCCCTGCTTTGGAGCTCTCTGCCCCCATGACACCCCACAGCTGCAGGGGCAGCTGTGTGCACTGTGGGGCCATGGAAATCCTGTGGGCTGTGCTCCTTCCCTGTTTTTTCCAGTCCCCAACTAGGGAGACKGCTGCAGCATCTGTCCCCCTGCAGCAAAGTCATTTATTAACTGATTAATTAGCTAGATAAAATCCAACTGAAGCAATTATTAGCCTAAGCAAGCCACCTCTCCTGGAGATTGAAAACTGAAATAATTAGCAAAATAGCCTTGTTGCGTGTCAGGGGTTKTTTTTGGCTGATCCCTGTTTCTCCCTGGCAGCCCTCACTGCCCCAGCACAGGGAGGGCTTGGAGGGGGTTGGTGGGGCTRTGGGATTCCTAAACTGGGGACTGCTCTCAGGCTGCCTGGGTTGTCAGCTGGCTGGGAAGGAGCCAGCAGCTGGACAGGATGGGGAGAAACACCATGGGATCACCCAGCTGCCTGCCAGCTCGCAGGGCSTGAGAGAGGCTGGGCTGGGGCTGGAGGCTGTGCCCAGGCAGCTCGTCGGGATGCTCCCATTTGGGATGCCCCTTGCATTCCAGGGTTACCCCTTTACCCCTAGGATGTTGCCTGACTTTTGCAGGCTTCTTGGACACACTGAGACAGAGAGAGGTCCCTTAGCAGCTGGGCAAGAAGCTGGGGAGCAGGGCAAAGCCTTCTGGAAGGGGTCCCTGTGCCGGCTGCCTGGTGGGGCGCTGGGAAAGAAATCCTTGTGGTCTGCCTACGCCTTGGAGCTGGGCCAAGAGTCCTCCCACGTYGCATCCCACTGGGCTGTTTTCTCCGGCTGTTGAATCCATAACTTCAGACCCCGGGACATGGCYGGGTGCCAAGGCCGGGGTAATGGAGCCAAACTGCGTCACAAAGGGAGGAAAAGGTCCTGAAGTGCCGGGATGAAAAGGTGACCAGGGTACTCGCTGTTCTSTGCTGGCACAGCTGCCTTCCACCGTTACTGTGGTTGGGGGGCCATGGTGGGGGGAGATGCTTTGGTCCCCTCTTGCCCCCCAGCCTGGGAGGGAGAAGAGGGGCACAGTGGGGGGATGTGGCTCCTGTGGGGGTGGCGGTCACTGCCCAGGCATTGGTGGCACAGAGCCCTGACAAGCCCCCAACCCTGCCCATGCTCTCCGTGCCTGCCGTCCTCGAGGTGCCACCTTCACCCCATGGCTGCTCCTGTGCCACAGACCCCTGACCAGAGGGGCTCAGGAAGTTGGATCCTAGTCCTGTTCCTTTCCCAGCCCACAAAACAGTTCTCAGCCTTTGCTGTGATACACTCCAATCTCTCAGCATTGTCCAAAAGAACAAACCCTGTGCCCAACATGACTGTCACCTTTGGAGGACCTGGCAGCATCATRGGGTGCGTCTCAAGTCCCTGGTGACTCAGGTGTCCCTTCCAGTGTCCCCCTTCCCTTCACCTCTGCTGATGGCTACAGCCCAGCTCCYACTCTTTGGCAGGGGGGTGTTGCAACACACCCAGCATGCCAAGTCATCCAGAACCTGCAGGGTTGATGGATAACCTGGTTTTCCCCACTGCCACCCAAGCCCTCTCCAAATGCCCTTGCCAGGAGGCTGGAGGGGAGCCAGTAGGAGATGCTGTGTTCTCCACAGGACTGGAACAACCAGCCCATTAATTCCAGCAAAGTTGATAAGGCACTGTGCTGGGCCATGCTCTGCCATGCTGAATGGTGCAGAGCCCCTGGATGCTGGGATTCATGGAATTGCCCCCTGGCTACTGGCTGCCAAAGGGCTCCAGTGCCCACATGACGCTTTGGTCCTTGGTAAAAGTGTATTAAGTGACTTTTACAGGAACCAGTGTTTTGCCAGGACCTTGGTTTTGGACATAGCAAAAAGATCAATGAAAAGCCCCTTCCCAGGGTGGTAACAGGGTACTGTCCTCAAGATGAGGTGTCTCTTGGTGGCTGTGGGCTTTCTTGGGAGGGTGTGTCAATGCCTGAACAGAGAGATGAGTTTGATTTGTCACTGCTGGGAGATGGGCATTTCTGGGGACAGCAGGGGCYGGAGCAGCAGGCACAAAGGTCTCCAGACAGTGTTGGCCCCTGTGGAGCATGGTCAGGAGCTTGCAGGCAGGTTGGGGCCAATGCCTTGCTTCAACGAARTTGTTTTCCTTTATGCTGAGCAGCATGTTTGCAACAATCCCTGTGGTTCCCACCACATTTTGCACCTCAAACACCATCTGGAGCAACTCTCTCCAGCGTCAGCAAGCCTGTTGGGGTTGCTTTCCAAAGAGATACAGCATCGTCAGCACGAGCAGGAACAACTCTCCCACGGCAGGGTTACATCCCTCAAATCCTCCACCAGCCCTGGTGTGGCTGCTGCTCAGGTGGTCACTGACGGGTCAGTCACCCCGTGGTCTGCAGTGCTGGTTGTAAGACCCCCGATGTGCTGTTCTCCCAGCTGARCACCCACGCTGGCATTCCTGGTGGGCGGGTGTTTAGTTTCAGGTGAGCGCCGCTCGCCCCGGTTTATGGCCGGTGCTGTTCCCCCTGCCGGGGGTAATGCGTGGGTTTCACAGGATGCTGTTYCACCAGCCGTGACTTGGCCTCCCCTGGCATTTCCCCAGCCACGCTGCCCCGCTGGTGGCTCGGGGTGTCACTTGATGTGCTGCCTGCCCGACTCCAGCAGGACACTGTGTACTGCCTAACACCCCTCATAACACTTTGCAGGGGTTGCCTGGGGGCATTTCTAGTTAAGAAGTGTTTAATTGACTACAAAACCATATAGTGGTGGGAGTTTGCATAATGCTGTTCACAGGGGAGCTGGCAGCAGTTTTCTGCAGGAATTGCTGCTCCAGGAGGAGGAGGGAGGAGAGACATAGGGGTGAAGTGAACCAGGGGATCCCTAAAGCAAGGAAGGGATTCCAGGTTTGTGCCTTTTCCTGKCTCCATCCTTGTAGAGAAGCTTCCCATTTATCCCCTCTGAGTACCCCAGCACTGCTGTACCCAGACTGAGGTTTCAAACTCCATTGGGGTGTGCTGGGGCTCTGAACAGGCATTCCCAGTGCTTCCAGTTGCAGCTGAGCAYTGGAGGGGCTCAGCTGGCACCCAAGGGTCTCTCCCCAGCCATACTCCCTGTTTTATAACCTGTCTCTACTCCTGGGGAGCCAGCTGGGGACTTGTGTCCTGCCTTGCTCTGGCCTGAGACATGATTCAGCTGGTGATTTTAGTGCCCATGATGTCCTCACAGGCATGGTGACACCAGCTGGCATTGCCCTGCCTCCACCACACATTGCTCTGTGGCCTCATACCCTCCATGTGGAGTAGGCTCTGTGGGGTGACTGCCATGGAGAGCAGCTCCTGTGGGGTCTGTGGGATCACAGCCATGTCACTGTTGGCAGTGCCACACACTGCTCTGGGCTCAGCTTCACCTTCTGGKGCTGGCAGCCCAAGGAGCTGCACCAGGCTGAGCCCAGGTCCCTGCAGGGTGGGCTTTGGGTACACCCAGCCCATGCCCCAGCTGAACAGGGCATCCAGCCCTTGGGAAGGGGAGGGCTCAACCAGAAGGGAAGGGTGACAGGGACATTGGAGGGAAGGGACTGGGGGCGGGAGAGGACGTCGGCAACCTGCCTCCTTCTGCCATCCCTATAAATAGGAGGGAGCAGGAGCAGGAGCACCTGTGGGACTCCAGCTCTGCAGGAGAGGCAGGGAGGGACGGAGGGAGCTGCTCCTCGCTGCTCTTTCCTCCCTTTGAGCTTCCTAGTGCTCTGCCCGCGTGGAGGCCTGAGGCATGGGGACCAGAGGATGGACGCTCTCCACCTTCCTGGGATGCTGCGTCTGGATCCTGCACGGTATGTCCTATTTTTTCAGCTCACCCATGTGCTACCTGAGCCCTGTCAGGGTGCAGTAGGTACACTGCAAGATGCTTTTTGCTCCTGGCTGGACTGGAAACTCCTCTTAAGACCAGTCCTTGCAATGCATTGCAGCCAAAGAGCTGGAAAAGTGTTTTACAGGGCAGGCAGCACCCCGAGGGGCTGGTTGCAGGCGTGGAGCTGTGGAAGAGATGAGAGCCCAGCCTGGAAGGCTGCAGGCAGCTCTGTACCCCTCCAGCAAAGGAGCCAAGGGAAGCCAGCTGGCAGAGCGAGACCCGGGGATGCTCCCATCCCTCCCACATCCCAGGGAAGAACAAATGCTGGTGCTCCATTCTGGGGCCCCTCTTGCACAAACTTCTCATGAATGGGTGTGTGGGGTAGACGGTGTTTCCTGCTCCACATTGAAGAATTAAGATAAAACATAGATTTACCAGGGTGGAGTATGACAAGCTAAACTGGGGCGACTTGACTGATGTGCTTTGTTTTCCCTGAGACAGGGAYGGGAGCTGCTGAGCTCCTTTGGCTGAGGGGTGCAGGGTGCTTATTCCAGCCAGGGAAGGTGACAATGATGCAGCCTGCCAGGAAAGGGAATGGGGGTCTAGCAGAGGATGGAGCCCTTGAGGACTGGTCTGTCATAGGGGCTAATATTCATTAATGACTCTGCATGAGCTATCTGTGAGCTAATGAGCTGAGCCGGCGGTGAGGTTGGAGGCACCTCTGCTGCAGGGAGATCTGGCTGCCTGTCAGGGGGAACCTGATGAACTGGAGCACCGGGATTGGGAACAGGCTGGGGCTGTCAKGCTGCGGCAAAGCCCTGCTGGGTCTTGCCATCAGGGTGCTCTTCGTCTCCCCTAATTGAAGCTCCCTAAAGYCAAGCGTCAGCAGATCCACCAGCTCTTCACAGAGCCAACGGTGGCAGCTTGGTCTCCCCAGCACCTGTATCCCTGTCCTAAAAATAAGACCGTGTGAAATGTCACCCATGGGTGCCAATAGGTGCTGGGAGACGCATCTGGGATGTGGGCAGGTGTGTCCTCCTTTCAGCAGAACTCCTGRATGTGGGTCAGGATTTTGGCAGCAGGAGAAGAGAGCTGTAAGCAGGGCTTGGTTCTGCTAGCTCAAAAATATTCCCTCCGTGGGTGGGGAACCCCTGGTGCCTTCACTGARTTGAAGACAAGAGGGATGGGGGCAGGAACAGCAGACACCCAGCCCAAGGGAGTTTYATTGAACCTGCTTTAGACGTGGCAGATCAGATTCCGTCAGCAGTCAGGGAAGGCTTCCTTATGCCTTGGCTTTCCTGTATGACAAAGGGCTTTGGGTAAAGTTATTTAAATATCCCTCAGACACCCTAAAGGTGAAAAAACACTGAACCCCCCCAGGGTCTGCAGGAGTAACTATGCTCAGTAACTGTGCCTGCAGCGATGGAAAGAGGGCTGAGGGCTCTTCTGGGRTGGCAGAGCTCCACAGACAGCCCTGGGTCTGTGATCTAGACTGACTGGTTTCTAACTGGTGGCCAGACATCCCCAGCATGGCTGGACTGGGTGGCAGCAGCTGCCTTTGCCTCCATGCTTGCACCTTCAGTGTCTCTCTGACCTGTGAAGAGTTGTGTCCTGTTGCAGCTGCCTGCTGCTGATGCTGGGGTTGCAAGAGCTGCTGTGCAGTACTGTGCCTAAGGCAGCCCAGACTGCGCTCCCTGGCTCATAAATCAGGGCCGTGTAAGGCTCTGGGATGAAGCAGAAGGGGTTTAAGAAGTGCTGGGAGCTCTGTGCTCATGGAGGGGAGGTGAGCCCGAGGCTGGCAGGCTGCCGGCTCCAGCTCTCACCATAACACTCCACTCTGCTTCTCTGCAGGTCTTGGGGCTGTCACCGCTGTCCCCGTCACTACCGACGGGCCCTTCACGGTGGGGACAGCATTTCCCATCACAGCAGAGGACGAATGGCCCCGTTCTACACTCACTTCAGAGATGAGAACCCCAGCAGCCGATCCTGACACCTTCTCTGCCCAGACTGAGGCAGACCCAATGACGGCGACGAGAGAATTTGGCTCTACAGTGCCAGCTTTGGTGAAYGTGACCAAACCTGCTAACACGACTCAGAGTACTGAGAGAAGTGCAGCTGCTGCCACTACAGCCACGACTGCTGCTGACATCACTGCACAGCACCCTGCTGTCACCCCAGAAGCAGAGTATGATGAAACAGAGGTCACTCCCGATGTCCCTCTGGGGACCACTGCGGTCCTTGAGGATGTGAAGGAGGACATCCTTGAAAATGGAGGAGAAGGCACAGACCTCAGCGCTAGCACTACATCCCTCCACACCACCCCTCCACTGGCAGTCACCTGGGTGCCACAGCCAACTGCTGGTGTCACCGTGCTGCTGAGCCAAGGGCTGACCACAGCCGAGGGGGCACTTGAGGAAGCTACTCAAAGTGAAGCCAGTGCCAGCTCCTCAGGTCCCGGTCCTGATGCTGGGGAGCTGCTTCCGACCCAGCAGGATGGAGCAGTGGGCGGGGTTGAGGGAATCAATTCAGAGCCAACAGGAGAAATGGCCCCAGCTGGTGAGGACAGTCCCTTGGTTTCAGAATCTGGAGATGCAGGAGATTCAATAAACGGTGAACTCAGCACAGCCAGCCCATCCCTCCTACTTCCAGAGAGCTCAGGGATGTCAGGAACAGTGGAAAACMCTGAGGAGTCCTCCCTCCTCCCTGGCCCGGCAGTGCTGACACCATCCAACAGTGGGGATGGGGATGGGAATGGGCAGGGAGATCCTGGGGTGTCATCAGAGGCTTCTGGTTCAGCCTTGTCACCTGCAGCCAGCCAGGCACCAGTGACACCTGAGGAAACAGAGGACACTGCCACCTCACTGCTGGCCCCAGGGGTTCCCACTGATACACGGAGTGACACGAATCTCCCWGTCTCAGCCACTGTGCTGCCCGCAGGGGATGTGGGAGCTGTGGATCTGGCCAGTCCATCCCTSCAGCCTGCCCCATGGCAGACCCCCACTGAAGAGCAGCCACTGCTGCTTCCTGATGATCTGACATCCTCCACAGATGCCCCCAGTGCTCCAGGGGCTGCTTACCCAGCTCCAGAGGCTGGAGCCAGTGCCCTGCCRGAAGCTGATGGTGCAGCAGAGACACCAGCAAACCCTGACCTCAGTACCGCCCCAGAAACGCCCCTGTCTCCATCTCTTGAGGAGTCACAGCCAGAGGGGAGGCCAGCTGGAGCTCCTCTGGAAGACAATGGACTTGGCACCGGCTTGAATACAGATTCAGATGCCCCCAGCTCAGCTGTATCTGATGGACCAGCATGGTCCACTGCTGGGATCCAGGGTCAGGGAGCAGAAGGGGTAGGGGACATGGCACAAGAAGAAGGTCCAGGKGATGCCAGTCCCTATGAAGATACCCAGAGTGACAGGATTCCTCCAGCCCTTCAGCCCTCTGCTTCTCCTGATTATGGAGAGCTGCTGCCTACAG